AAGGAATGGCGTTCAGTTCAGCCCAGAGCAGGTCAGAAGTTGCCCCACTCTTTGAAGTCAACCTGCCTATGTTCAGAAATGGCATCAAGTCTTTTGGCAGAGCTTTCAGTTCTACTTGTGATTTGTCCCTTCAAAATAAGCAGTATGAATATCTCATGTTTTATCTGTGTGCTGTATCTCTTTAATTCCTTTGATTCTGAACATCATACTAAAACCAGGCAGCCACACACAGAGTAAATTTCAACCAAACGCATTTCTAAAACTTGCTCATATTGTTGCTTATGTTCTGCATCAGTTACTGCGTAGCTGCCCATGGTGCCGTGCCATGCCATGGTGATCTGGCAGTGAAAGGCTAGTAATGAGGAGTGTGAATCTTCCTCATGCTTTCATGTCTTTGATATACTTTGAAGTGAACAGGCAGGCACATAAAAAGACTTTCATAAAATTGAAGCTTCGTGGTGAATATTCTACAAAGGGGCTATGAGGCAATATCAAAAGCTTGTGAACTAGATGGGAACCTTTCCATTGATGTTAACAGTGTTCAGATCAGGCCATGGATTAACTGAAACCTCTCTGAGAACTGGTGGCCACATGTGTAAAGAATAGGAAAATATTGCAGAGCGGAAAGAAGGAAAAGTCTTACTAATATTTGTAAAAATTTTTGCCGGTACTTTGACATATCTTCCTTGACTGAGATTTTGAAATAGATACAGTCAGTCTTCTGAAGGTAATAAGAGTGTTAAGGGGGTTTTCTGATGATCAAACATATTTTTGCTTTAGCTGAAAGGATGAGTCTACGGTGCTTTTTACTTTCAGTGAGCCCAGTCAATTCTCACTTTAATTACTTCATAAAGAGTCTTGGTTTTGCTAACACAGAAGCCAGGGGAAGTTTTATATTGATGATAGAAGGCAAAGAGGCAGTTCACTGATAAGAGTACACAATAAAATGAAACTTACACCCATATCTGTGTGCATGTGTGTGTACATACACACATTTATATACACTCAGCAACATCTCCCATAAGAAAGCCAAATAAACATGCATGCACGTATATGTTCTTTCACCGTATATATCTCAAATTTCTCAGTTAAGCATCAAATGCATAACCATGTATTGACTGTTTTGATGTGTGCTAAAATTATGTAATTCAGAGCTCTTCACACATAATTGGTGAAGATAATTTCAAGAAACTGAGCACATGCTTTGCTGCATATATACTAAGCTCTCTTTTTCTTTACTGTCTTATTTTGCCCTATGAAAATAATCTCAAAAGGTGGAGCAAATAGTTTTTGAATAAACTTATCTGAAGTAATCATTTGAAACAAAGAGTTTTATTTCTTATTTCATGCCTCTTCATTTCTCTTGAGGAGCTCTTATTTTGGAGAACAGTATTGATTTCCTATGCACCTATTGCCCTTATTTTAGCTTTTCCCTTGTCTGATGATTTTTTTGTTACACATCATGATGGAACATTGGTTAAGTATGGTAAGATAGTTGAGGTTTTGGATTGATAAAGAAATTTGAATTAAGAGAGTGGTTGCTGGTCCCCCTTCATAGAGATGAAGTGCCTCTAGAATCTGTGATGACACAGTTTTATGTCACCAAAACAAATAAACGTCTTATCTTAGAAAAACAAAAATTCTGTCGAGAGATTCTGTGCACAGGTGGTGCAGATGGCTCTGTATGTCTCCTAGCCATGTCACTAGCAAGTAATGTACCTTCGTATGTCTGCTGAGTGGCACTATATTGCCTTTCAGAAGCAGTGCAATGCTTCTGAAGTTGCTCCATGAGAGTTGGAGCAAGCTGAGACCATGGCTATTTAACTGCAGGAATAACCCCAGAGGATTAAGCTGAGAAGTGACTAAGACATGGTGTAAGTTATGGAAACAGCTATTTGAAAGCAGAGAAGTCTGCCTCTGGGTCTGTGGTGCTTTGTGACATTGACTTATACTGACCTGTCTGTACTATTTCCTAGAACTGAAAGAAGTCTGGAAGAAGTAGTGTTTAAATATCCCATATTGTGTAAGTGATGTTAGCCTGAAAGCTGAAAATCATTAGCTGCTGCTTTTGAATTACTGATGAAATTGATTGGGTAAATCTAACAGGTTCACAGCAGGTTGTAGTTAGGAGCATTCTAAAGCAAAATATAAATCAGTATTTAATGAAGAGTTTGGCATTCGGGAAAATTTACAATAGCAAAGCTACGTGTAATGGAAAAATATATTTCTAGCCTTTTCAGTGGTGATCATGCCTTATATATGACAAAAATCTTAGTAAGATATGATCAATTTCTTTCATGAAATCCAGTAAATGGTCTACATCAGCTGAATATATTAAAGGAAATTATAGATAGGTAGATAGATATGCACTTACATATATAAAAAAAAATGGGAACTCTCAAATCTTTATGAATATTTGACTGGAATTGAATCTGTCTAGATCAAAATTAATGTGGGAGGAGGAGTGGAGTTACAAAACTCGTAATGTCTGAGCATACAGAGAAGTTGTACCAAATATGCCACTGATTTATCACAATGAACGAAGCACTGTTAATGCCATCATTTGTGTGTGTGTACATAAAGAATAACAGAGCCTAGGAATTCTTCAGTGGTGTTATTTAATGATATGTTAAGAAAAGAATAATTGGATAGCCTCAAAGGAACAATTCAAAGAGACTGTAAAAATGCAAATATCATTGGGGTTTAACATGCAGCTTTCTTACCTTATATGCAGCACAGACTAGACAGATACAGGATAAATAACATATAAGCTAAGGAACTATGCATGAAAATTTTAACTGTATACCAAAATCCTCAGTAAATAATGCCACAGGTCTTTAGAATGTCCTGATATAAAACCCAAAATCCTCTAAGAACATGAGGTATGTTATGTATGAACTCTGTATGAATATATAGGAATTCTCAATATCAATGCTGCTGTCAGCTGTAGTAGTGTTAGCAGGGTTTGCTGAGGAAACATGAGGCTTAACAGTAATGACAGAACATAATCTTCAAGTTCGGTTGCAGGGAGAGAGAGAATCTTGCATGGAACTGCATGGGTTGCACTCCTGTGAGCAGTAAGAGAACTACTGATGGGCTTGCATGTGAAGGCAAGGTGAAGATGGCCTCTTCTTTAGCAAGAAAATTCATAAAAAATTTCAGAATTCCTCTGAAGATGCCTCATTTTGGCATTTCTCTGTAGCTTTCCATTTTTTGCATTATTATAATTTTCCAGTCCTGACTTTGCTGCTCTCCTCTCCAATTGCAGGACCCTTAGTATGGGGCTGTAAGAGGAGCCCTCCTCCCTGCAGCCTGTCATGGGAAGTTCATGAGAAAATTACTGTATTGCTGTTGACTTCCCTTAGCAACCTCAGTGGACAGACCCTTTTCTTGATGGGTTTTGGCAGTGGAAACCTTCCCCAGAAAACTTGACTGAGGTAGTGATGTGACTGGAGGTAGATGTGAACCTGCTGGGATGGTTAGGATGGTTGCTAAGCCCCATCCCAAGATACGTGGAGTTTTTTGCTGCTGCAAAACTGTTTCTGTGCTAGATTTGAGAATGAGTGTTTACATATTATTTGCTGCAGGACCCAAGTCTGGTCTGTGACATGAGTAACTTTTGACATTTCTGAGTAAACTGTTTAAATTATCTGCGGGCAGACATTTAAGATGCATCGGTCTAATTAGAGGGCCTTTGTTTATTTTAAGAAAGAACTTAATGAATCCTTATGGACAAATCTGAATATAATTACACAGCGTGCCTGCTGGTCTCACAAGCTCCTTCCCAGTCTGTGGGGCTCTGGGGCCTCCTGCTGCACTCATGTTTTTGTCAGATGACTTCACTGCTGCTTGAGAAGCACGCTGAGCCCTTACTGCATAGCAGGGCAGGCTCTAACTCTCAAGCAGCTTCAGTGAGTGGAAACACAGATTCAGGAACAGCCCTATGGGAATGAAATCAATGAACGAATTAAGATAGAATCTTTTTGGTGTCTGCGTTGAGCTTATGAGACGTCCTGTGTGCTTTCTCCGGCTGCTGACAGTCCTGCCCCACATGTAACCTTGAGCTGTTCCATCCCACACATGAATGAGCACAACCCCATTCTTGCTCCACCCAAACTGGCCAGACTTGGGCACAGGAGACTATTGGCGTGGTTTCCTGCTGACTGTGATGCTGCTATCACTGTAGCCCCGACCTGAGCAAGAGGCACTGCTAGGCCTCTCACTTCCTAACAGCCTAGTGGTTGGAGTGGAAGGGAGAAAACCCTGTTGTTTTACTGGGTGCAGCACTACTGGCAACTGTGTTTAATGACTAGGAAAGTACGCCAGTGACTAGGCACAAGCATCTCCCAGCCTCCCCAAGTGAGAAAGTTGTATGGCTGCTTGAGGGAGCAGGTGAGATAGCCTGGTTTTTAGAGCAAGGATTTGCTTTCTGTTTTTGCCACCATTTATCTTCTTTAGGCAGTAATTACTGAAGGCAAGATAAAGAACCAGTCACTGGAAATTAAACTCAAGTTTCCTGACTTGGAGTCTTCTGACCTAAACCATAAGCTTGCACTTTCTCAGTAAGTGAAAACAAAGAAATGATGAAAGAGCAATGAAAAAAAAAATAATGGAAACAACTTCCATTCCCTGGAAGAGGGTCTGGGCAGCATTGCCCTCAGCAGGTCAGCTCAGTGCTTCAATCTGTGAATATCTGAATAACGCTGAGCATAAATTGCCATTGGTTTTAATTGAACAGCAGAAGGATGGCAAATAAGATACAGCATAGCAAGGAAAAAACAAACAAACTAGATGCAGCATTTTGTTTGAAGGCTGAACTAGATATTGTAACTTCAATCCAAGGTTTGGTACAGTAAATATTGAAACAACCTCCTTAGTTCTGCCTTGCAACAGTACACAAAAATGAATTACCTTGTTTTAAATATCCTTCTTGGTTTATATTTTTCAGGATCTCCTTTCAAACTGTTTCTTAATTATATTCCTCCTGAACTGAAGAATAAATGGGATCTGAAATGAATTTAATAGGACACCCCCAGCTAGCTACTGCAGATGGATTTTCTCTAGCTGAAGGTCCTCATTTATTTGGTAAGTCGATGAATTAAGGATAGTTTGGTATTTTAACCTTGCTTAGAGACCTAGAAAAAAATGTGCTGAAAACAAGTCAAAGCAAAGGATATGTGGTGGACATGTGCCCACGTTCTTGAATCATCAGTCCCTATGGAAAGAAGAACAAATAATGAGTCTGTAGTGTTTGGTCATTTAATTCTGCATTCTGCCATCAATGCTAATAGCAGCATTTCCATATTATTATCTATTATAACACTTCTAATACCTGAAAGGCAGGGGGAAAAAAAAAAGGCAGACCTGCGTATGTAAGCTGGATGTTATCTTCATGTGGGTCATTTAAACCAGGCTAAGCAAACATATTTTCAGTTAGTTTCAAATAAAAACTGCCATTTATTTGCATTGCCATACTATATGTATTTATGATAGTAATTTCATCTAAATTAAAACTGTGACCATTAAAAACTTATGCTAATAATGTTAATGCAAAAACAACGTATAATGCAGGTTGCAAAAATCTATCCTTGCTCCTCTTCCACTAGTTTTTTTTTTCAAGAATAAACGTAGTCTTGTTAATGAATGAAGAATTTTTGGTCTATACTTTATGACCATGGGGAGCCTGTCTTCTGCTCAGGGAGAAAAAAAATAAATAGAGAATAAGACAATTTTAAGCCTTTCTTTTGGCAGCATAGAAGGACTTCTGTTGAGAGTCATGATACATTCAGAGCCTCACACATAATACAGACCCCACAGAAAAGCTACAGCACTTCAGAAATTTCCTTTCCAAATAAGACCAAAATTTTGTCTTTTTGAGTGGTGGAAAACACTGCAATCATTTTGGTTTCTTCTATCTGGAACAAGAATAGCATTTTGGGCACAGAGGGACATGGAGCCACTCCTGCTGCAGAGCACATAGAAGCTGGGAGCATCTCCATGAATCAGGCCACCACCAGCAACCCAACCCCATACAACTAATCCAAAGTACTATCACTAAAAATAAACACAGACATTTCACTACCTTATGTTATTGTGCTATTTTTCTTTCCCTAAATTTGATGGCTTTGTGAGTTTTTGGTTTTTTTCTGTTTGTTTTTTTTTTCTCTTTCTTTTTTTTTTTTTTTAATGGGAGAAATACTTGAGCAGATGAAATGTTTTGCCAATAGTTTTAAAAAAGTATACATAAAATAATTCAAACACTTCAGGCCATAATACTTAAAGAAGAGGATGACATCCAAATTTAGGACACTGGATTTTATATTCATTCATTCCTTTAGAACTCCTGACAATTTGAGCTACTTCAGTTTTTTTCCCAGATTTTTCCTCTAACGGTTACTTTTTTGCCAATTATTTTTCAAGAGGATCAGGTAGCTTCAAAACACAAGAAAATATGATAATGTAAAAGACTTTTCCTCCACACTGAAATCACATTCAGAAACCTTCAGGTCTTGGAAAGAGGAACTGTGTCTCCCATTATAGATATTCAGAGCTTAGGGCTAAGGAATTTAATTCAAACTGGCATTTCAGTAACAGAAAGAAATAATGTATTTTATGGTGCTCAGTTAGGGGTCCCATTAAGAAGGAAACTTAGCATTCCTGTTATTTCACTTAAGCTGACTTCCAGCTCTTTCTTTATGATCACTTGGTCCTGTTTTGTACGTCGCCACTCGACTAAGTCTCAATACTGAGTTCTTCCTAAGTCTGATGTCTTCTGCTCTTAGAAGCAGAAATATAGAAATTCTATGCAGCAAGTTACTCGTTGTGAAGATACGGATCTATCTATTCAAGATTCTTGTAGCAATTTGCTTTGTCTCTGAGTTTCGTATTTGTAAGCTACTTGCATTTTTGGCATTCTGTTTTGGCAAGTAGAGACTTCTGTACCCAAGGAAACAGGAAGCAAATTTTTCTCTTAAATGGTCTTTAGAATATACGTTTCTTAAAGGAGTTCTCACACATTACAGCTTTGATGTAATATAAATGAAAAACTGCTGACTTATAAACATCAGCCTTTATAAATAGTCTCATTTTTCAAAGATGTGCACTCACATTCTGGAAAAAGAAATACTTCAAAGTGTATTTTCTTCTCATTATGCTTCACTGAAACTTATAGAAGAGTGTTTATAGACGTTCACAACTAAGTGCCTTTCTGAACATCAGCACTGGGTCCAGGTCCTTCAGAAGTGAGGCTGTAAATCCTGACTTGCTGGTGCTGTGAGCCTCATCACCATGGTAATTCCGAGGGCACTGCTCCTTGCTGCCCTCAACACTTACAGTCACAGTAGATTTCAGAACATCATAAAGGAAAAAAGGGTCTTCTACATTTCAGGAGTTGGAAATTGTACACTGATATTTTAACAGACTGTGTCTATGGTAAATTGACTCTTCATGTCTTAGGAGTTGGTTTTAAGAGATATTTCATTTCTGTCATTATGAAACTCTGAAAAGAGGACTCAAAACAGGAAAGAGGAAGCAGGAAGCATCTTTAACTACAGCAGAAGTGGGTACCTCTCTCTTCCATCTTCTGGCAAACCTGCTTCTATTTTTCTACCTCACTATCCATGTGATTCAGAAACTTTGTAGATCTCTTTAGAGAAAACATCTATTTGAATAAGTGGCCTAAACCAGATACACAAAATGCACTCTATATAGCACCTGCATTGTAAGATTAACTATTTCTTCCTTGCAGCTCTGCTTTTCACAGTGAGGGAAAGGGACTCCTAATGACAAGAAATCCCTGGGATGCCTGAGCCTGCATGGCACTTGTCCTTCTAAGATGCTTCTCTTCCACAGATAAACTGTTCTTATTTCACAAGCCCCTCTGAGTCAATTAGGGCCAGCTGCATGAAGCTTCACAACCTGAACTTAAAGAATGTGACAAATTGTAGGCAGCAGGCTTTTAACACCATAGCCCTGTTCTATTTTCTGTCAACACACCTTATATAGGGGTCATTCATATGCAAGATGTTAAGCGTGAGACTACAGCTGACACATAGATTGGTCACATAGATTGATTTTTAAAATTTCTTGTACTGTAATATCAAAACATAACAAGGCAAGATATGTTTTCCTAATTTTGCATACCCCAATTGGAGAAGAGTATTTGTAAGGTGAAAAAGTGTTTTTTAAATCTGCAGTTGACAAAACAATGAAAATGCCATTGGAAAGTGTTGTATGCATAAAACAGTATCAACAGATCAACTAACGAGGCTCATTGAATTTTAGATACATTTGTATTTTTTCTGGTTATGCCCATCTCGTTTTTTTCTTTTTTTTTCTTTTTAACAGTAGTAGGATAAAGTGTCCAAACTGATTAAACACCTTCCAGATCATAAGATATGTTAAATAACTGTTTGTCCTCAGCACCACCTGGCCAGGGATGAAACATCTGGCTTCATCCTTGCAGAGGAGATAATTAGGCCTGTAACAGACCCCCAGATCAAAAGGAAACAAAGCAACACAAATTAAAACAGAAAATCATGTATGTTTAATAATTATTATGAGGAGAGCTAAAGCAAACCAAGTAGGATCTGAGGAAAAAAAAAAAGAAATTAAAGGAAAAGTATGCAACTGAACAGGACTGAGAGTGAAGATTACACCACAGAGCAAGGCAAAACCAAAATGCACGTATACTGCTTCCTCCTATGCATCTTAGCCTGGAAATCTGGTTGTTTCATGAAATTACACAGGAATCTAACAGGAAGCATTCCCAGAAAAGCTGCTTGGACAAGACTGCTGTAGATTTGGCTGGCTTTGCCCTATGCTGTTCTCTAAAATTCTATCTCAGTGGGTTTTGCACATCTTCATACCTTTGCTGCTATTGAATGATGGCATACAACACACTCTCCAGGCTTCCAGCAGACCCAGTACACTATGGTGGCACACAACAGAACCCTCATGTTATTACAGATGATTTGAGCTGAAGTGGCACCTATTAAGTGATAATACTTGAGAGCCTCAGGAAGGCTGCGTGGGCCCAGAAGAGTAAGGTCAGCAACTTGGACTACAAATTCAGCTGCATCCTACCTGTGCTTTGGAGAGTTAGCTTTACCCCTAAGCAACATAGAAAAGAATTGACACTTGGCCTTGGGTCAAGGGCATCTTTCTGGCACTCTTCTATGTCATCATATAGATGTGTCCAGCAAAGCCTAAGCACTCTGGCTTGTTTTGGAGAATACAAGCATTTCTGGGCTTAAAAAGCACCTGTTAATCTAGTCAACTAAAACAGGCTACTGAAGTGGTTAATCTATTGCACGGAATCACCTGAGGTTGTTAAATCTTTACTGATGAATATTTTACCGTGAGTTAACTGTTATAGTTACAGAAAATTACAATATCTAAGCTCTTTGGAGGCACCCCCTTACATGGAAACTAGATTTTATCCAGGTAAATTACCAGTGGATGCTGGCGTTGCTATTGTTTCAGGCATTTACTAACAAGTTTCTCTGTAATGAAGTTAATCAGTAAACGATATAACCTCTGGCCTGTGTCACTCCTTTGTGAGTCTTAAAGAAAGTTCTCACTGTAAAGAAGGCAACGGGATATAGACAAAGCAAAAACTTCAAGGGAAAGAGAAAAGCAGAGAAAGAGGGAAAGAAGGACTGGGTAACGTAAGGAGGTATTTTGCTTCAAGATATGGTCTGACTGAAGACTGGCTGAGGTAGGATATCGCTATTCTCTTGTTTAGGTGTGTGTTTGATCTGAACTTGTATTCTTCACTTCATTAATGGCTGTTCTAAGCTTTCCAATTACTTAATCCTGAAGTTTGTGCTGATTTCTTTAAGTTCCATTGTGAATATCTTCGAGACTGCCAAATGTTCATACTGGAAATCTTCTTATATTTTTGACCCTTTATTAGCTTTGTTTTAATAGAATAATAATATTTTACCTTAAAATGTGATATCACTGTAATTTCTGTAATATTCTTAATCAACCTGTGTTATTCTTGAGTCTTGAACCTCACTACTAACTGAAAACAGCTTCTTTAGTTCCTTCAAGGGAAATTCCTTTTCAATTCAGCAAGTGCTTAAGCCTACATTAAAAATGTTTTAATTTGTATGCAAAATACTCAGTGTAGAGTTTGAAGAAACGAACTCAAAACTCTCCCATGTGTTTCAGTTGCAAGCAGTGTTGTGGAAAAATATTTGCAAAATTCTGACTACATCCATATAAATGTTTCACGTTGTAAGCTTTCCTGGTTTTTGTAAAATATTTTCATTGAAAGTCACTTATTTTGCAAAAGATAACCTAAAAGGTCAACAACTGTAAGTAATCCACATTTATGTGCATTTAAGCAGTTTTTAAAATTGTAAAAAGTAGTATTTCAGAAGGAAAAACAGATGTTTCAAAATAGCTAAGACTAAGCAAATAAAAAAGATGACTATATTCCAGTGAGTCCATTTCTGACTTCACTTTCACTGCTTTTTACTACTCGACTCCAGTGATTTCAGTGGCTGGCTCATGCTTCCCAGTGGCACGAGACCAGCTCATTGCAGACTTATTTCTTCTAATGTCTTGATAAAAGCATATGTGCATTCTGGTTAGCAAGATAAGATTAGGGTTTTTATTTTTTGTGATAAGAAACTACTTGTTTTAGACTCGCATGTACTTTGCAAAGCGTAATTCTCAAAGTTGCTGTGATTTTAAAAGGTCGTGCAAGACAGAGCAGCGCACTGTATGCTTCTGAGAGCAGAATCCCTGCAGCCTTTGTGAAAAGCTCTGTGCACACCGCTGGCTGAGGAACACTGCTCGGACCACATGTTTTGGATCAGGCCAAAGAAATTCTTCATCCTGGTAACTTCAAAGCAGTTGATTTCTGTTTCAACCTTCTCATTTTTAAAGAAAATATTTCAAAATAAAAGGACATTTCAACTAAAGAACGAGAGTTTCATTTTTAAATTGTCTTTATGGAAGACCTCTACATTTTTAAACAAATATTTTTAGGAAAAATGTTAAATAGCTAGTGCTTGTCTTGCAGTGTTTACTTCAGGCCTTATTGATGATTTTGTGGAATAATAGTCATTCAGCAGCAGTTGTTGATCTGCTTTGGGTAAAGGCATTTCAGCACAAGTCTGCTAATTTCTAAGGATGAAACAGAAGTTCCCACCAAAGCTCTTCAAACTAGACAAATCAGTTCAACTTAATAATAATAATAATAAAGCTTTAAGCTGAAGCAGGAAAGCCTACACTGTAACTAAATATCCTTAAAAATCACTTTGGTCTCCATCAGTGAGCCATCTGCATACTTCCAGAATTTTAACTGCAAACTAGCTTTACAGAAAACAAGATTACCTTTTTTTACCCTGTTCTCCCTTTTTCTTTCCACTGTTCTAACCATGGATAAGATTTAGCCGAAAGTCTTCATCTCTCTTTCTTTTGTATTTTACTTTATAGATTGATGTTTTTTGTGTCCTTCACTAGTAGAATACAATTAATAATTATGGAGATTTCTGTAAACATCTGTAATGCAAACGCTACTTTAAATAAATGCTCAATGTTGTCTCAGCATATGCTGCAGTTCTTTTACAGCCCTGAGTTTTTAATAAATCCAGAGATGATTTTCTGCTGTGGAAGGAATGTTGCCTTCCAAGCAGTTCAAGAGACTGATACAGAGCTTTTGTGGAATTTCTGGTGGATGGCATAAAGATAAAAATCAAGAGTTTCTTTGTCTTCATTTTGGGATCTTCCTCTTTCCTTTAGGAAACTTAGTCATCAAAGTAATTCCTAACTAGCAAACAACAGCTTAGGTTTCCATGATGAACAGATTCCTTTCCAAAGACACTGAATGATTTGTATAATGATTGTGTGTCTTGCCATTAAATTATTGCACTGCTTTTGTGCATAAAGTATTTTGAACAATCTCAAAGGGCAGCATTCCCAACGAACTGGAAATAAAATTAAAGGAAGACCACCTACTCATTAAACCTCTAGTTGTGAGGCCTTTCCTTGCATTTGAATTTCATGCTGAACAACAAAGCTCAGCATTAAATCACTGCTATTTTCAAGTTTCATACCTTCTGTCACCACTGCAGCTGACAGGTATCACTGCAGTGAGAGTTTAGTTTTGACTGACAAAGCTCTGACTTCATCTCCAGCCTCTTCTATGGAAGATGTCAATGCTTTCTCTCAAGAGTCCAGATGTCTATGTTATTTATTTGAAGGACATAACCGTGGGCTTGGGGGTTACACGCTATCATAGTATTTGGGTCTTGGCATCTTCTGGAAGTACAAAATGCAACAATAACCAAACTAACTGCTAACAATAAATGGCACTCTCTTTTAGGCTTGTGTCTTATTTTTCTAGACTTGTGTCTTTCTGTTTATTCTTGAACTTGAACCTCTACATTTGCTATTGGCAAAGATGTGCTGTGGACAATACAGCATTCAGCCAAATCCAAGCCAGTTGTATCACTTCTGCAGCATGGTGAAGTAGGAGGGGCAGAAAGCTGCACAGCAAGCATGGGACCTTGAAAGTGAAAAAGTAGTTGAAAAGCAAAGGTTAGTTTCTGTCACTAACCAGAAAGAGACAAAGGAGAAGGAAAAATCCCCTACTACAGATTTTTCTTCCTAGCTGTCATTACAGAATGTTCCTCTTTGCTATTAGCATTTCTTCATTGTTTCTGATTCCTCAGAAGTGAAGGAAAATTTCCAGGAATTGATTTTGTCAGAAAAAGCTTTTTTGAGTGCTTTAGAAACACAGTTAAGTAATGGTCAACAACAAACTTTCATCTATGATTTCCTTGTAAATTCTGCTGTTGACTTCAATAAGAGTGGGACTAGGCATCTCTCCAGTAGCATGCACTATTTTTATTGAATTATCTTCTTGGAATTAAAGGAGGAGCAGTGTCAGTATTTTCATGAAATAGCAAGACATGACTTTCCAACAGAAAGTATAGAATAGTTTGCAAATAACAGTTTAATTAGCCTTTTCATCTGGTTGATATGGGCTTCCTTTTACTTATATCATCTAAGGACTGTTAGATATAATTCCACTTGTGTTATTGCAAAAATAAGATCTAAGTTGTTGGTATTTTGAATAAGACGAGCAGAATGTGAACATGCAATTCAATGAACTAAGTAAGGTAGCCACTGGGTACTTTGCTGATACCAACTTTACAAACTACTTTTACAGGAAATGATGCAATTCTTTGTCATAAATCATTCATCATTACCAAGTTTGTTGTTGGCTCAAAGGTGAATAGTGCAGGCTAGGGAGGTGTGTCCATGAGAAGTGGGCTGATGCTCTAAGTCCCATAAGCTTGTAGAGATTGAGGACTGGGCTGCAGGGGCTGACTGGGTGACCACTGCAGGCTGGCTGCTGGGAAGGTCCCATTTTTCCACTTACATCAGGAATATCTTCCCAACTTCTTCCTTGCAGTCTCACTGCCCCCTTTCAGACTTTTCTTGAAAGTTTACTTCATGTACTTAGTCACATAATTAAGTTTCTCTCTTGTCCTTCCCTAATGTAGCTTTCCCATCACACTGTATTCATTCAGAATTATTTAGAAATTAACACGATGTTTTGTGTCTTGATCTAGCTTTCATCAGTACCATAGGATTTTTTAATTTACTTGGATTTCTTTGAATTTACTGCAAATCTTAATTCAGGTTACTAATTTACTTGTGGTATGATTACTCTTTCTCATAAATTGAACATTTATATTACTAGCTACGTGGCATCTTACAATTTTCTTTATGTGAATGGCAGTGTGTGACATTCCACCACTAATAAAGGAGTATCTGAGAGTGGCTGATTTGAAAACACCTTGCAAGATCATGAGCAGACCGTGCAGTCTTTGTGATTATGCCATATCGTTTTTGAGATGGATGTCTGAGGAAGTGAAAACTTTTCTGATAATTGTATTTTCACAGTTGGAATAATTTGTGTTTTGGATTTCTTCTTTATTTGTTTCTTATTTTCCAGGTATCCTTTCAGAGCCAATGAGTTCTCCAGTGCAAGAAGCAGATGTTTCACCTTACGCACAGTACAACAGTGTGCCATTTCCCCAAGTTCAGCCTCAGATTTCATCACCACCTTATTACTCCAACCTGGGCTTCTACCCTCCACAGCACGAGGAATGGTATTCCCCTGGGATGTATGAGCTCAGGAGAATACCCTCAGAGACCTTTTTCACAAGAGAGACAGAGATAATGGATATTCCTGCAGCCAAAAAGCCTAGACTGGGCCACTCCACAGGAAGAATGAAAGGAGAAGAGCTCTGTGTAGTCTGTGGTGACAAAGCCTCTGGGTACCACTACAATGCTCTCACTTGTGAAGGATGCAAAGGTAAGATGAAATCAGTTACAGAATTCCACTTGATTGGTAAGCATAGCAGTATCAGCTTTTCACTTTTTTCTTTATATTTTTTGTCCAAGTCATTAAGTATTGTAGAAAATTAAATTTGGATTTGATATATATTATTCTGGATTTTCCCCAAGACAACACTGTCAACATCTTCTACCTATGAATCCATTTTCCTATGAATATAGAGCACAGTTGGCCAACCTGTAACTCTTGAGCCATCTTCAGGTTTCATTAAACTGAAGACCATTTTCCATGCAGTGCCTGGAAGCCTGGTTTTGCTGTCTCAGTGGCTACTGAACCCAGCCTGCATCTATGGAAAGAGCCAAACTCATGGACACCCCTTAGGATCTATCTCTGTGCTAGGCTTCCCTAGAAATCAGCTGTGACTTCAGTCCATATGTAGTGCACATTGAAAGGAAGATAAAGCTTTCAGCCCCCATCTTCTAACTGTTCCCAAAGAACCCTCTTCCTTCAGCTCCTAATGTATAAGCAGTGTGTCTTTAGGCTTTTGAAATGAATGAACCTTTCTAATTCCAGGTGTGTTTCTAGAAACGGTCTCTATCCCTAGAAAGAGCCTTTTCCAGTTGCATTTGCAGCCTAAATATCTTACTTCCTAGGGGAACAGTATTCACAAATCTGTCAGGATAAAGGGAATATAGAAAATCATTGCCATTATTGAAGACATCATTGCCAGATATTTCAGCAGAGGAAGCAAAAAGGATATATTGGTAGAACAACTATTGTACCTTAAGATGGTTACTCTGTGATGAAGCCAAGGTGCAAGGTAGGATGAAAAATCCCTCAGTTTTTCATCCTATTTTGTGAATAAATGTTTAATTAAGGTTTCTGTTCCATGGATAAAGGCTACAGTATGAACACAGATACTAATCTTAATGTGGAGCTCACTGTCATTGAAGGTGGACTTTGAAGTACTTTTAGGTTTTGCTTTACCTCTTACAGATTCATTTCTGAGGACAAAACAGAGCTCAGTGGTCCAACACTGTAAACATAAATGCAATTAAAGGTCATATGGTTTATCTGAGTAATTCCAATAAATAAGAGATTGGTTTCTTTCTGCTGCCTGAGTATTCTCAAAGTAAAAATAAAATAAATAGCTTATACTAATGCTGTCTTTATGAACATGATTTATATTCAGTTTTAACATGAAGATTCCAAGACATGATACACTTATTTTGTTAGCTAGCTGTTCCTACTGTTTATTATTTCAGTTATGAAATGACTTAGTCTATTTTTCAAAGATTTATAATTACAAACTCTGGAGTGTTTAAAAAATATCTCTGGGAGTTAGTTAAAGCCATCAGGTAAATACACAGGCAATATGTGTTCATCTCTCTACTGATTCAGTTTGAATCGTTCTGCATAATTATAATTATACTGCTTTATTGGGATAATTTATTTTCTCTCTATTTCATGATTGCAACATCAATTATGAGGAATAGTACCCTTGATCAAACATAGTAAAAGTTGAATTATTTAAAGACGATGCATTCAATTTCTACAATAAACTTGAGAGGCCATTAAAATAACAGCTGATTCAGGAAAAAGATGTGCTGAGGACAGTAATTCTCTTTTACAACGTGAAGAGGATATAGTCATTTCTAGACCTCTGATCATTCTTCTGTCTCTGTGGAATTTTTCACATTGCTATCTATTACCTCAAGACACATTGACCAAAACTGGGCTCGGTAAGACAGTTGCACTCTTATCAGTGTAGTAGGATTACTTCACACATCTCATATCTGAGCATGGCATTAACTCTTCTTTTCAGTGACAAGACTGTTAATTCATTCTCACTGAGTGTCCTGAATAATACACAGATCTCTTTCTACAGGCCCTGCAGTGTCCCTGCTCCAGTGATGCTGTGGAGATTCTGATTCAAAGTTGGACACAGCAAATATTTATATGGGAATCAGTTCTCTGTGATGAATATGTGAATTTTTTTACCATTATTACTTTATTGGATAGCACATTCAGCAACACTCCCCATTCTTCTTTATTGAGTAGAGCAATATTAAGATCTTATTTATCATCCCTCATGAGAATAGCAATCTGAAGATACAGATTGAATTATACGTTTCTATCTTATTTTTTTCAATACATGAACATCCTTTAAGAAATATTTATTAATCATTTAATATTTTACATGTTAGATAAAAGCAGATAAAACATTTGCTCTCATAGGACAGTTGCCTTTAGCATATAAAAATAGAAATTAAATTAAATAAGAGGAAGTTTTTCAGGTTTTTCTCACCTCTAACACATCAGTTTTGAAGATACCACCTGGCTCTACAATAATGCTAGCGTCACAACTGTGGTCCATAAAGGATAAGACAGTCCACGGGCAACATTTCATTATAAGGACCACTGTACCATGCTTTAAAGCCTGCTCCTCTAGAGACCAATTTCCTGATAATCTTTGCAGGCAGATATCAAAGCTCTTAAAGGCATTTTTAAAGCAGCCAATAGTTTATAATTACACATCTTTGAAAATATACACTAAGCCATTTCATAAATAAGATAATAAACACTAGGAACAGCTTAATCTGCATAGTGGTACTGGGCTTTGAAGGCCATTTTGAGATGCTGCAGAACAAGTGTGATGCAGTACTGTGTTTATTCATTGAATCTACTGATCATATTCCTGAGAGAAAAGCTGGTTGTGAATTCCCCTAACATAGAATGACACCAGTTTTGGCACTCTTCAAAGCATTGCTGATGATGCTTAATGATTCTTATATCAGACCGAGCATACTTCCTGTGAAATGAAGTGCTACTTTAATCTTCTCCTCAGATTCACACCCATCATGTGGGCATGGGTGGAGGGAGTGCCACAGCATGTGCTGATAGTCTGACAGAGTGGAGTAGTGCTTCGTTAGCAACTGTGAACTTCAAAATCTTTTAGACTGAGATTCCTGGAACAATTAGACACCAGGATGGCAAACTGAGATACTTACAAAGCTTTCATCTATGTTTTTAACAGCTATCTTCCTTCAGTGTTTATAATTTCCTTAGGAAAAATTAGGATTGGTAACACTGGAGCAACTGTAGTCTTAATTAATTATATTCATTACTAGCTGAGAGAACAAAGCAAAATCAACATTTCCAGCCAACGTGAGATTTTTGTAATTTGGTAAGATCAAATCAAAGTTACACTGTGCCAGAAAAGCCTTCAGGTTTTGGGGGCTGCCCCTTCATTATTCTAACAGATGCCATTTCTCCACATTTTTGTAAAAAGCCGTCTGCTATAGGAGATTGTGCATAAAATACTTCAAGCAATATAAGTTTATTTGGAATTATTAGTAAAGACAATGTATTAAAAAATTACTTGTACCAAAATTTTTATTTCAAAATCAATTGTGAAGTCTATTCGAGAAGAAAATGATTCAAGAATCACTTCATGATAGAACTGCAATGAGAATAGGAGTAAAACTACTTTTTGTAAAAAAAAAAAAAAAACAACCAAAACTATTTAATTTCTTATTCCAAATAATTTTGCTTTTCCAAAAACTTTCTTTTAAGAGTGAGTATTTGAGTCCTATTAGCTTCTACCTTTTTGCATCCCTATTTTTGGATCCTTTCACGTTCTTTCATGTTTTTTAAGCACTCATTTACTAAGGATCTTTTCCTTTGCTCCCTTGAGAGAAAGCAAACTAGCAGAGAGCGTGAGGGAAATATTGGACTTAAAATGTCATGAATATTTGAACAGAGCTTTTTAATATTTACTACTAATTAATACTTATCACAAATTACAGGATTTAAATTTAACAAATAGTTGCCTTTAACTGACACTGAGAACCAGCAGCTTAAATCCAAGCCTTTCTCTTCCTTCCCTGAGCATTAAATGGTAATGTATTAAACACAGTGCAAATGATGAATAAAAATAATGCCTAGGGCTGCAGAAGCTTCTAAGCAATCTGCATTTCAAAAGAGACTGATGCCAGTCAAATATATTTATCTGAAAAGAAGCCAAGGATGAAAGCTATTTCAAGCAGGAAATAAAGCAGATTTAAAGAAAGTCTAGATTTTTTAGTGAGCAGAATAGTTTTACTCAAAGCTACGTTACTGGTGCTTCGAAGAGATGACACAGCTGTAGAAACTTGGGCCAAAATTGGGAAATTGTCATCTGATAATGGCAAAATCACCATAGCATATCACGTTACCTTGCTCAGATTCAGCAGCATATTGTCCTAGCTCCACACATTCTGTGGATTCACATTCACACTGTCTGTGAAAACACACAGATAAATCCTTCAATGTACAAAAATTCAGAATCACATCTAAATTTGCCCTGCAATTGAAATGTGGGAGACTGGATCTTAATGGGTGCCTCTGGTATTGCATGAAACTGCCAGGCCGGAAAACAATGGCATCTTTATTGTGCTGGCCAGGGGCAAGAAAAAAGCAAAAGTTTTGTGAATAGTTCTGCTTACTGCAAATTTACGCAGAGTTCTAGTTTCAATTGCACTATAAATCAGTGATGTATCAGGAGAAGCTCCCAGAAGTCTACCTCAAAAACCTGCCCTCAGGTGAGAAGGAGAATCAGCCTTCCCTGCTATGACAAAGGTAATTAATTCCCTCTGCAGCTGATGCTAGATAGTCTGCCATATGAACGATAACTTCAAAAGATTGTGATGGTGCAGTGAACACAAAAAAATCAGGAAACATTTAAGTCCCTGTAGACTTCTGGGATGAGTTCTGGTTTGCTGTGCAACTTTTGTGTGAATCCAGTGATGATATCAATTCAAGTGCTTGTGTAGTTGAAATCAGGTAAGTGCTTATTTCATTGGGGGACAGTGTTTAGGGAAAGGGATCGACGTATCTTGATAACAGGCCTCCTCACGTACAGTAGATGGATATGGTACAGCTTCTTTACTAGACCTGGAATGGGCAAGTAGACCAGTATGTGGAGCTTCTGCAGCTCCCAGGAGCTGCAGGGAAGTATAACCAGTTACTCATCTCTCTTCCTTTGCATCCTGTACCTCAAGAGACTTAACAGGCTGGTATTTTTTTGCACCAGTATGTATGCCATCATTCCTATAGCAGGTGCTTAGCCTGCTCCTGGCAGGTTTCAGATTTGGGTCTGAATTTTCTCAAGGTTAGCAGTTGCAGGGCCTTACTTGGGGCTAATTTCTAATGTGGTCACATGATCTAATATGCTCATTATTAAATTACACGATTTTGATACTGTTCTCAATGTAAACAGCAAGAACTTAATCACCCAGGCACCAAAAGAAACCTGCAGCGTAGCAGAACCGGTGTAATTCAGAAAACCCTTATGGAGGTGCTCTTCATCTTTGTTTTTGCTGCTTCGAGAGTTTTCTTTGATCTATGTCACTGTTGTGTTGTACAGGGTTCTTCAGAAGAAGCATCACAAAAAATGCAGTGTACAAATGTAAAAATGGAGGCAACTGTGAGATGGATATGTACATGAGGAGGAAGTGCCAAGAGTGCCGTCTAAGGAAATGCAAGCAAATGGGCATGTTGGCTGAATGTATGTATACAGGTATTTGCATCATACAGTCAGAGTGAGCAGAGAACACACCAAATATTGTATTTGTTTAATTGAACTGGTCTTAATAACAAACTTATAAAAGATACCAAGTCTGGAGGGTGGAAAGTGCAATAAAGATGATGCTGTCACTGTGCATCAAATCCCATTGAAAAAGGAAAGCACGTTTATGAGGAACAGGATTTGGTGGCCAGGGATACAAAGGTATAGGAGCTGAGCAATTGATGAAGGAAAGGCTGTCCTTCAGTAGGTGAGCGGGAGGAAAAGGTGGTCGGGTGGAGCAAGACTCTGGCAGTGAGCAGTCTGCAGCGCTATGGGAGGCAGAGCAGGAAAAGTTCTGGTGCTTCCTCTTGTTGTTCTTTCTGGTCCTCTCCCTCTCCAATTCTTGCTAACCAAGTCCAAATGCTGGCATTCAAACAACGCCATTTTTCAGAAGAGGAAGACTGCCACGAGCAGGCAGTTTCTGTGGGGTTGCCAAGTGTACGTTCCCAGACCCCACCCAGCAATCAGGTTAAAACTGCTGAGGGCTGGCCCTTTTTTATAGTCTCATTTGCTTTTTGAGTGGCACTATGGATTTTCTTGCCCTCATAGAGATACATAGGTAGGACTGGATCCAGAGATGAAGCAGATGGACTTTAACAATGTTTCATTTAAAGAGAATACTCTATTCAACCTGACAGCTTACAAATTTCATTAAGCTTTATGTTGGCCACTTTAGAACAGAGATGCTGAAGTGCAACTTTAAGCATAGATAAAGAATTTTCAATAAAATATATTTTCTAGTCAGCTCCTGAAAATAGTCTGTAAATATCTGCTCTTTTGCCTTCTATGAACAAGGCAACAATTTATTTGTCTTGACAGCTCCAATCATTTTAGCATACACATATGTGTGAAACCAATTTGGGTTCATACAGGAAATTAATCTACTTGGAATTTTTAATATACTTCCAAGCCTCAATCTGATCAGAAGATGCTATATTAACTGTTGGTTTTGTGAGAAACAATAAGCTTCATCAGTGTTTGGAATGCATCGCCAGCATAGTGTAATTAATCTTCCATTCTGTAAATTGAACAGGCTACAGAGATTCTATGATATGACATATTCTTGTGCAATATGTAAATATATGAGCAGACACCACCACTGTGATGACAGCACTCAATGGGTCCCTCCACGTCAACGGGAAATGACTCCCCTGTGGTGCTGATCCCAGATCCATTGTTCCAACATTTGTAGGGTTTAAAATAGCCTGAGTGACTCAGGAGAAAAACAAGCGGTCTCTAAAAAAAATAGGTCACCGTAAATAACACCAGCTGGGCACACATGAAAGTTTTAAGCTGGCTGATCATTTTCAGAAATTGGCACATGTGAAATAAATGCTAGTGAGTGGCGCTGCCATTTGACTCTGTCTCTGCAATGGAAACACTGGGTATCTTGTGTCGTTCATGACTTAAACATAAGTGTGCTTTAATGCACTGCAATGAGGATGTTTTGCAAGATACTATTTAATGGCTTTTAAGTAGGAGTGTGCTGTATAATTGCTTTTAGTTCAAGGCAATCCAGAACAGTAAAACATGAAGCTTCTAGGAGTACAAAGCATTTATTTGAAAAAAATGACTAGGAAATAAAAGGCAACCTTGAACTTTGTTTCACTGTTTCTCTTACTCATTTTGTGGGATTGTAATTACAAGCACTGTGAATTCCTTTTTTTGCAATGAATAAGGAGGTAAAGTCTTATAAACATTTATGGTATAGCTACTCAATAATCCTGCTCCTGCCCTTTATACATGAAAGATCAAAACTGCTCACCATCAGTTTCAGTTGCTTCCCATGGTTTTTTTACAAACTGCACGTTTCTTGTATGAAATGTCTACCTAGGGAAGACCCAGATTATGCTACTCTTTCTAGAATTTAATAACCGTTTAATAACCATTGAAAGCCAGCTAGCTTTGAGATAAAAAGTAAAGTCCTGTCTCTCGCTTGAGTTTTCCAATTAACTTAGTTGGAGCTAGAATAAGATGTCAGTAGCAGGAAGCTTAGGAAAATCTAGTCTTAACTGCTTAAGGCAAAAGGAAGCCACATTTTCCCTAGAAAGGCAGCAGGCTAGATCCTAAGCTGGTGGAAAATAGTGTAAGCCCATTAGCATTGCCAAAGGATGTATCAAATATTATCATTTAGAAAAAGAAATCTATGATGCTGTGCAGCAGCACAAATTACATGGCTCAATACCAATTATTATCTCCATCATTCCTATTCCCCCCTTTCAAGGTATTATTTGCAGGTCTTATTTTAATCATGTAAATTTCCTCTTCTCTCAGCAGTTCAGGTAGGTTATTTTATATAGTGCTTAAACAGGAAATTAAAAACATTCACAACGAAATTCACTGCTTTCACGGTATCTTCCTCTACCATCATGCACTCACTGAATGAGCACCTTTCCCTGCTCTGTGTTTTCAAAGTTGAAGAATGGGAAGGATGCTTGAATAAAAGTCCTGTGGTGATATGTTTATTTTTAGATGAATACTTAAGAGTTTACTTTTTCATTTGTGCTTTTTGGCTGTCTTCCACTGGTTGCTTAGGGTACACATTGTCCCTTTCTTTTGTTACACAAGCAAGTTGTTAGTTTTTATGACATCCACATAGGGATGCTCCCTGGTTCAAAGGACTGAAGTGTAGTCTAAAACAAAATACATCAATGCAAATATCTTTTCATTGGGACAAATGAAACCCTAGAGTAAAACTAGTTTTATCCAGTCTTCTAAGACAAAGACATGCAAACTATCAAGAGCAACTGGGCAACATTTTAAATTAATACATTTTTCATCTGTATTTGCCAGCCTCAGTTACTTCTGGCCTAAATTTTCAGCTGTTGGTCTATCTGTATACTGATGCTAATGGTTGAAGCCTGGGAGTACTCTTCTAAAAGAACTTTACAAAAAAGCTGTGCTACAGCTATAACACGGCTTAAAGATTATTGAAAAAATCCACTGCCCTTTGTGTAAGAACAGCTGCACCTTGATTACTGTTTCGTATCAAAATTAGACAGTCTTCTAATCGCCCTCATTTACTGCGCATTGGTTTGCATCCTGGAGCACAATGAAGGCTTTCTTTTGGATGAAGCTTAACTTGAAGGCATAATCCAGAACAGTCCCATCACACTCTGTCTGTAAGAGCATTTAAGAGGTGATCCAAAACAATCCCCCTGATATGCACACTGTGCAGATGCTGGGCACCAACTGGTGCTGTGCAGCACCAACCGTTTTCCTCTGCAGATGGGCTCCTATTGGGCTGGACTACTCATTGGTATATACTTGTGTGTCTCATTAGATTCACATCACGCATGTTCAGGAAATGGTCTGTACAGATAAATGTGTTTGTTAGCATAAAAGGCATTCAAGGGCATGTTTATGCACCTAATCAGTGCCTAAAGCATATATATATATATTCAAAATCTATTGTATTATGTGTTCCAGGTCTATTAACAGAAATACAATGCAAGTCAAAAAGGCTACGGAAAAATGTGAAACAGCTCCCAGATCAAACAGTCAATGAAGATAATGAAGGCCATGACATGAAACAAGTGACATCTACAACTAAAATGTATAGGGTAATAAAATTCTTGCAATAGTAGTGGTGTTTTTAGCTAACTGTGGTTACTACAGTGAATAAGTACTTGTAAACTCTGTGGATCTGTCTGCATCAACTAAAAATCCATCTCTCACTCAAGTCAAGAAAACACCTTGAGTATAGTAGTTCTGGTATCTTTAGTCAAAACTCAGTAGAGCCTCCGCAAAAGCCATAAAATATATCTTCTGTTATACGTGTCTGGTATACTTCACATACAATGAGGTGTGGTATTGAAGTTTGAGCACACCTGGCTAGTTGCTAATCATTTCCCTATTTCTAATATTAAACCACACAAACTCATGCTGATTGGAAACCCGAAACACCTCTCCTCTTTTGATTTCTGTAGAAATCCAGTGTCTCTTGGTGACAAGCAAACCTAGTCTGCTTGAGGTCCAGGTGCAAGAAATAGATGCATATCTTTTGCCTAAAACAAGTGGTGCTGGGTCATTTCTACATAACTGCATTTCATGATGGACTTTTTGTTTTTGTCAGTATAGGAGAAAGTAGAATTTACCCCAGAACAGCAGAACCTTCTTGATTACATCATGGATTCATACAGCAAACAACAAATACCTCAGGAGGTGTCAAAAAAGCTGGTAAGTAAGTGCATTGATTAATTAATTCTTGAGTTGTGAAGAGGCAGAGGATTAAGTAGGCTATAAGTTTAAACATGCTGTGAGCGGGCAGAGTTTCTCCTATTCAGTCATTAATTATACTACATCTTTGTTTACCAAAATTAAATGCCAAGAAAAAGCTTTCTACTCTTTTAAAATACACCTTTATGCTCAAATCTAATTTTTGCTGATTGGAATTTCAGTGGTTTTTTTTTGCATTATCAATATAGACAGTGAGTTTGACTGTAACCAAGCTTGCTTTCTTTAAAGTTACAAGCCTGGATTCTTAAATGTATTTCAGTTTATTGTTCCAAATTCCCAGCATCTTTCAGGTTTTTGTTAGTTCCTTTTTCTTTCCTTTTCCTCCCTATCTTCTAGAAATTCTGTTTTCCATTTAAAAACTTCCAGTTATCATGCTTAGATGGTAAAAGATTGGGAAGTAGCCAACTTTTTTTTAACACAAGGCATAAAAGATATTTTGATGGTTTTCATTTTACAGTTTAAAATTAAATATTGTGGTGCACATGTCAAGAAGTTCTAAATTTCTAAGTCAGGAAGTGCCTAGATCATTGACTACTAGACATGACATTGAAAGTGAGACAGATATTCAAAGGAAAGGACACTTCCTACATATTTTATTTGTTAAAACGCCTACCAAAATACCTGTTTTGTGAATGACTGAGGACAAATTACAGGGTTATATAGGCCTCCTGCCAGGCCCACTCTAATAATTCTTGTATTTTATGTCTTTAAATGTGAAGTGCTGATGGATATTAACAGGTTTTGTTTGTTCTGATTTCTAACAGTTACACGAGGAATTCAGTGCTGAAGGGAATTTTCTGATTTTAACAGAAATGGCTACCAGTCATGTACAAGTTCTTGTGGAATTCACTAAAAAACTACCAGGTATATCCAGTCTGCTGGGCCACATTTTGTTATTTCAAAACTTTGCTTTCAGTTGCCATTTGATTGTTGTGTATATTTTGAATGCTATATCAAAATGCCACCTCCTCTGACACATGCATTCTTCAGACACCTGAAATCTGAAGAAAAGGGGCTTTGTGCTCTGCAGAGAATATTTTGAATAATTCAAATTCTCTCTCTGAGATGTGGCACTTTCTGCCTATTGGAAAACAAAATGTTCAGAGGAGGGGTGATATCTCTAGAGAGACTTTATTTTCATATAACAGTGCAATGCCAAATAGTCTGCCTCTAAATTTTAACTAACATTGGCAAGACTGCTTTGCTCAGCTTGCTGCCTTTCTGGAAAAGTGTTTCAGTTGTGAACTGTGGATGCTAAATAAGTCTGCCTCGTTGGAGGCACCAATATTTATGGACCTTGCATTGTGTGTTATGGACAAACACTTAAAGCCTGAGTTCTAATATTATAATTATTATTAATTTCAACTACCAAGTGGATGTTACCTCAGGAGTGAATGTTAGGCATGGTACAGATTCCTTGTGAGACAAGCCCCTTCTTCTTCTTTGCCAGGAAGCAGTGTTTCCAGGTGCTTTCTCACCAGCACTGAGCGCTTGCCCACCATTCTCCATCTGGAAAGGGATTCCAGCACCTTTCCCTACACTCAGCCTTGAAGCCTTGAACTGAGACACCCTAGAAGAGATTCTTCAGGCCCTTCTTTTTAAGGAAGGTGCAGTGGAATGCTTAGCTGTAAAAAAACATTATTCTCCTGGCATTCCCATGATCTTGAGTTTTTTCTGTGTGTTACAGACTTGCTTCAAAGACTAATACCTCAACTTTAACTTTTTTTATGCTAACAGGAATACTGGTTCACAAGACATGAACGGAGTACAAGTTAAGCAAAGGAAAGTGTAGCAATATCAGCTGAAAGATGCTAAGACAACTCCTTAATGGCACAAAAGAAATAATTCAATATGCTACGTGCTACTCTGGTTGAAATCAATCACTGGTCAAGCACAGGGTTATGCATGCATGTACACACTTGAGAGGAAGCAAGGCTATGAGCTAGAAACCTGATAGTATTTTGATAAGAGGCAAAAAGTCCTACCAGATTTTTGCAAGCCAAATTTCCCTATGCTGAGGAAAAGGCAAAGGCCTGGAATTAAAAGTTGCACAAATGCTGCCTGCTTGACTTTGGCGAGGACTGAGCTTGTGTTGTTATTCTGTGGAATCTGAGTTTCAGCCTCTGTACTTGTCAAGTAAGCTAACACCTGCATCAAGGTTACACAGATGTGTAGCACCTCATGTTTGAGAAGTTCAGGACAGAAAGCAGTGGGGACTTTTCTGCTGATGCCTTACTTGTCTCTCATGTCTCCTCAGGCTTCCAAACCCTTGACCATGAAGATCAGATTGCTTTGCTGAAGGGCTCAGCAGTAGAAGCCATGTTCCTCCGTTCAGCTGAAATCTTCAGTAGGAAACTTCCTACAGGTCATACTGTCCTTCTAGAAGAAAGAATTCGTAATAGCGGTAAGCATCTTGTTTACAAGGCAAAAAAAAAAAACCCACACAGTCGCAGTTCTGTGTCAGTATTTTGACCTTGAAAAGCTAGTAAAATAGTTTACTAGTATTGCAAAAGGCTCATCTGAAAGCTGTTCTTCATATTAACTAGAACAAATCTAATTCAGCCTTGAGTGTAAAGATCATAAGGTAAAGGTTTATTCATAAATACATTGCAAGTGATATGAATAATGCAATCTTGAATAAACCCAGTACAACTTTCCAATGATAAGCATAGAAGAATGAAGAAAACAGATTCCATTTCAAATTGTTCAAATAAAATATCAGTATTTTTGCTTGCAAATGAAATTACTCAAAGAAAGAAAGAGAAAAGAAAAAGAGAGGATTTTAGGATGTTAATGTAGAAGATAAACATCTATTCTTAGGGTTAATTTGGCAAAAAATGATTCATACTGCATAGAAGAACTACAAATATGGAATATTCTCAATATATTTGCTGCTTCTTAAGGTCCTTCTAAATTTATAAGTCTGAAACATTACAAAAAGATGAACTAAGCTTGATATTTGCTCCTTAATGCAGGCAAAGCCGTGTTTTGCATTGTTACATAGCCTTTGTGCTCCACTGATGCAATACACGATGTGTTTTGTTTTTTGTCTTGACTAGCAAATTTTATCTACCCTTCATCTCATCATTAAAAATTCAAATGTAATAAAAATTCTGAAGCTTTGATTCTAGCTTCTGGTCCTCCTTTATAATAGCCAGAAGGAAAATATATATAGGAGAACAATGCTAATCATAGAAATGGGCTTGAATTCAGTTCTGATTCAATTAATACCCATGACGTGAGGGGACTACAGATGTATGCAAAACGATGCCAATAATTATGCTTTTGAAACCCTGAAAAGGAATCAGAAAACTTGAGAATAACTCACTTGCTGAAGATATGGTTTTAGTTTGAGTTAGAATGCTCATTTCTAGGTTTACATTTTATAGTTTTTAATATTTCTTTTATTTAATTATAAGAGACCATTATTTGAAGAACTGGAGACAGTGTGTTTGAGGGTGATAAAAGAGTGATACAGATGGCTTCTGGGCAGAGGAATGTGCCAAGAAGGCTAGACGTAGAAGAAATATTTTGATCCTGAATATCAGATAGCCCATTAAGTCATACAAATACTTTTTTCCTTACTCGTACTTTTCAGATAGTCTTAATTCTCTGCAACTGTTGGGTCAAGATGAAATGCAATGTCCTTCTTTCTGAGTGAGTTAGTACTAGACTTAAAGATAACATTACCTGCCATAGCATGACTAGTTGGAATATGACATTGTATCCTGTTGTAATATTATTGACCTCTCATGAACTAGTTAAAAACCCAAGCATTATATGTATAAGAAAGTTTCAAAACAACTAACAATTTCCAATGAGGTGTTACTCATTCCAAAGGAAGATTTCCTGCAATTCTTTTTTTCTTGGAGAACAAAAGCCACCAAGGCAAATTAAAAATGAATTCTGGATCATAACCTGTGTTGAATAGTTCCCAAGGAAAGAAGCACTATAACTTTTTAGTGTGTAAATATATAAAAGCTGAACATATAAACATGTATTTACTGCTTGTGGGAAAAAAAAAAAAGACTTTCTAAAGCATCTTTCATGAAGCTGCAATCAAGCTAGGAACATAAAAAGAAATACTGCTACTAGAATTTCTCCCTCCCTATTTTGCAGGAGAGTAAAGTATGACCCATCTTACCTGCTGCTGGCTGCACCTTTTTCTTTCCATTTATAATAAGAATACAAGAAATAACAATCTTTGTCATGTATTCTCTTTATCCTGTGCAAATTCAAGTCTATTTAAAAACAGTTTCCTTGACTGCACTTAATGGGGTTTTGACAGTAAACAAAAGCAGCTTGCAAATCATTGTGTTTGTAGCTGTGTTAACTGTTGCTACTGATGCTGCTGAAGCTGATGTTGACTGTAAGTGCTACTGAACAGAACCAGAAGTCACTCAGAATTCCCAAGAGTGCAAGAGTCCCTCATTTTGGATGAACATTGCCTCACTGTCATTGCTGCATGTTAGAGAGTATCAGTTAGAGTTGGCCATGTCTCTTATAGGAAACTGCTTAAATGTGCTTTAAAAATGCCCCTTTGTCTCTCCATTCAGTGCTGGTCAGATAGTGTTATCAACTTCTTTGCAATGGCAATGCAAGCAGATGAGTTTCTAAGAGGAAGAGTCAAGAGATAGGTTTGATTCTCTCATGCTTCCCAGTATTCCCTGACTTTTCAAAAGAATATTCCTATGTTACAAGCTATCGGAGTTTCATGTTTTCATGTTAAGCTCCTGCTTTAGGGCACTTTTACTGCACATTTTATCCTGGTTTCTGATAAATTCTAGAAATACACATTTAGGTAAATTTAGTCCTTTCAAAATATTATAAAATGTCACTACTGAGGCATTTTTCTTTTGTGGTCTAATTCATGATTATTTGCAGGTATCCTGAGTTTAAATAAATCAAAAGTACAGCATCCAAATTCTTTTGCTGTCATTGCTTACACATACAGCTCTGAAAAGCAGTAAAAATGCAGCTCACAGCCCTGCTGCAGGACCTAGCACCAGAGTTCTGGCTTGAACCGATGTGATTTTGTCTTATTTTCAGCTGGGACTCTTTCTTCAGTGTGGTATGGTGCTATGTTTTGGTTCCAGGAGAAAAACAGTGCTGATAACACGGTGATGTTTATAGTTATTGCTAAGCAGTGTCGTACTGAGCCACGACCTTTCTGGCTTCTCAGCTCATGCCCACTAGGAGCTGGGAGGGGACAAAATCAGGACAACTGACTTAAAGGGGCCAAGTGGTTATTCCACACCATATGACATCACATGGAAGGAGAGTTTTGAAAGGAGTGGGAGTTCATCTCACTCTCTTCTGCTGCTCAGGGGCCTAGCTGAACATCAGTCATGTGGTGGTGAGCAATTGCTTGTGCATCACTTCTTATACACATTCACATATATATTTTTCATAATTATTATCTTTTCCTTTTCTCTTAGTAAATAGTTTTATCTCAACCCATGAGGTCTCCTTTGGTTTTGGTTTGGTTTTTTTTTTTTCCCTTTTGATTTGGTTTTTTTTTTTTCCCTTTTGATTCTCTCTCCCATCCCACTGGGAACAGGGAGAGTGAGCAAAAGACTGTATGGTGCTCAGCCACCACAACAGATTTTAGAGTAGAAACTTTAGCAACCTCTCCCAAACTTCATCAGTAAGGAAACATGCTACTTACTAAAGGCTGCAGCTGAATATTATCATGTTATAGATGAGTCCAAGAGATAAGGCCAGGAGAGGTTGAATCTAAGTTACATAAAGAAGAAAGCCCAAGAGAATTATACATAAGTATGGAGACAGGAACTTTAGCATACACCTGACTGAACACAGCAAACCAAAATACGCTGCAAATCCAAGTGAGAGTAGCAAAGCAAATGCAGTGACGGAAGAGAGTTTAGTGAAGAAAAATCATCATGACTATTTGTAGCTCCTGGTGAGGTCCTAAGTGTTATCAGGCCATCAGCCATAAACTGTCATTAGTCAGAACTTCTATCAGCATTTCTTAGATACAAATGTCTGAATGTCACACAGTCCTATTGTTAAGCCTTGATATCCATATCCATAAAATCAAGTGGGAAGGGGGGGAATCCTGCCTAAAAGCCACAGGCTATTCAAACTTCTGTCACCTGCCACTGTGACCATTTAGAAGTCACTCTCATCTATTAATATTTATGCCTTCCCCGCTCTGATTCTATGGAACTTATGGCTTTTTTTTTTTTTTTTTTTTTTTCTCTAATAAAGAAGCCAGAGATTTGATCGTGATGACCTTTGAGCATTATCAGTATTCATTTTCATTCTCATGCTGATGGGATATATTTTTATTTCTTAGCTTGAGCATGTTGCATAAGATCCTGCTACATGTGCCTTTGTTTGTGCCTGTACAATCTTTCTGTTATGGAAATTCTTTCTTTCATGGCTCCTGAAATCTATATTAAGCCCTAGTGAGAAATACAGACATTTTATTTAATGTAATGAGAGCTCATAAAACTTACTCATCTTACTTGATGTTTCTCTATGCACATACCTTGTTGTCACTGATTGACTCATTTTGTTAAAGGCTGACATCTGGGCAATTTAATACCTTGTTTCTTTCTGTTGTTTTAAAAGCAAATACTCCCCACTGTCTAGCAGGACAATAATTTAAAAATCACTGCTGAAATACTGAATGTTTTCTCAGGGAGCATTTATACCTTCCTTTCCTAAGGACATCTGTTTTCAGTAGTCATTAAGAGCCACAGATTTTTACATCATCATTTTCTACTGATTTCAGTGTCAGGGATAGCATACTTTCTGATGTGAAGAGAAGTGGAAGAATTGGGACTCAAACTTTCAGTTGGCAGCAGGAGACCTGCCATTGTGAAGTACACCCTCGTCTTGCTGGAAGGGTTACAAGTGTTGAAGTGCAATGCAATCCAGCAGTAAAACGAAACAGCTGCTATTCCAAAGCACTGGCAAAAGGCCACCTATCGCCCTTGAACGTGGATACAAAGTTCCCATTGATTTGGACAAGGGCCTCCTGCAACCAAGGGCAAAATTTGGCAGAGGAACAATGGCTACCAAACCACTTCCGCTGCCTTTGGCTTTCATTATTTGATTATTAGTACTGAGTAACCACAGTGCTTCAAAAACTCACTGTGCTGGAGGCTGTATGGGGAAGCAACATGAAATAATCTTCACCGTTGAGAACAGATAATCTGAGACAGAGTAATCTCTTTCTATCACTCCTTGTTTTTAAACATAAGTGCAAATCTAAGCTGTCCAGCTCTGCCAGTAGTTGCACGCATTCACATGGAAGGAGACATTTCCCATCCTGGGACTCGAGCCCAAATCAGCATCCTGCACAGAACATTTAGAAATCAGGGGCACTTTTAATTAAAGACTGTAGGAAGGAACAGAGTATATGATAGAACTTCTCAGCTTGTACGTGGTCCTGCATGATCTCTCCTGCTGAGTGCCATGTTTCTGAATTACAAATAAAGTTTACACAAGTGTTTAAACCATATCTAAGGAGTTAATTTATGTATATGAAAATATGAAAATAAGAACAGACATCAGAGGACCCAACCTCTTTCCTTCTGCATAAGTGTGCTTCTCTAGGCCAAAAGCTTACTTAGATAACAAATACTTTGCAGCATGGAAGTTAGTTCTGGTAGATGAAGCATTGTGAAAGATAAGGTGTAATTTTGTGAGTAATTAATATATTTTATTTTCATAAAACAGCCACTATCATACTCTTGATTTAATATCTAGTCATCTCCACATTTATGAAGAAAAAAAATATCTCTTCATCCATATTAATAACACAGTGCTAGTTGCTATTAATTAGCATTTATTTACAAGCTTTCTTTTGCAATAGATCGATCTCCTCTGTTTTAATGAATAGACAAAATAAAAGAGAGAATACTGGTCTCAAGAAATGGCAATATTGACTTGATATCACAGGAAAAAAAATGAAGTCAATAGAGGGTTATGTTATGTCAATGAGGGCTATGTTAAACTCATAATTATTTACAGCCTGAAACTGCAAACCTTATGAAAGCAAGTCCTCTGAGAAATCATAGGAACAAAACTATAAAAATCAAGGCAAAGTCTGAAACAATACTTTGTCTTAAGTTACAGAGGTGAACTAAACTGTATAAGAAGTAAGAGGTGCTGAATGAATAATGCTGACAAATTTGCATCTCCTCTAGGCTAATGCTGCCGGGCCATACTCAGTAAAGGCAGTTTTTCCCATTGACTACCTGGGGGTTCCCAGTCAGTCAGGCGTTAACACAACGAAATCAATTAAATTGAATTGCAGCGTCTGTAGCAGATGATAGAGCTGGGCTGATGGTTTAGTAGAAATCTGCCTAATTCAGAATGCTGCATAACAAAACACAGAGGAGACTCCACTTTCTATTGCCTTAAGACAACATCATGCAAAGTTTTTCAAACCTTCTTGAAAAAGTCTAAGCAGGGTACATCATTAAATGCAGAGCAGGAAGTTCTGCCTTTCTGATAAGTACAGTTTAGCTCTCGTCTGAGCTAAATAAAGAAGTATAAACAACTCACTTTTCTGTTCTCACTGAGGCCAGAAATACATTATAACTTTATCTATTTGATTTTTTTTTCACTTTTGGAGTATGATTGGTAGGAATGACACTTGAAAAGCCGCACAATTCATTACTCCTCCAGCCCTTCCAGGGGGCTGGAACAAATTGCCTTTAATTCTTTTTCTGATAACCTGAATGGAAGTGACATCTCGTACAGTAGATAAGGGGGAAAAAAGCAAGAACTATAAACATTTGTTTCCTGCCTTTCTTTTTTTTTGTTTGTTTTTGCTTTCTAGTGGAGCTTATTAAATCCAAACTGAAGCATTTTCAATCACATTGGAAAACAGCCCCCTCTTGTGACGGAATAGTAGTTTGTGTAATGTGTTCATTCAAAACGAGGAATTAACTGGGAAAAGCCAGCACAGATGGGACAGGGGCAATACCAGTAACCAAGAAAAAAAAAAAAAACCAACAACATTATTCTAGACTTAAAATTGCTCTTTTGCATGGTTTTGTTCATAATTGCATAGTGATATACATCTGTTTAAAGATTTCAAGTATCTGTTGCTTTTTTTTTTTTCATAAAAGCAGTAAACATCAGCTGCATTGCTATTACATTCTTTTTTATTACTCCCTTTTACCTATTCTGTCTAATTTCTCTGAACTGCAGTAGTGCAGAGAAGCCCTCTGATGTAATTTTATTTGCTTTCACAACTTCTCTTTCACCCCATTTCTTTAATTTCTTAATGTTAGCCTATAAGCTTTCTGGTGCAAGGACTGTTTTACTGCATACTTGCATATGGGCTCAAGGAGGACCTGAATTTAGGTATTTCATACCTTGTACTTCTCCTCTCTTCATCACACTTCTCTGTTTACGAGGGTGGATAGTGATAGAAGAAGGGGGAATGGTTTTAAACTGAGACGGGAGGTTGAGATTAGATATTAGGAGGAAGTTTTTCACACAGAGGGTGACACACTGGAACAGGTTGCCCAGGAGGCTGTGGATGCCCCATCCCTGGAGGCATTCAAGGCCAGGCTGGATGTGGCTCTGAGCAGCTTGGTCTGGTGGTCGGCGACCCTGCACATAGCAGGGGGGTTGAGACCAGATGATCTTTGTGGTCCTTTTCAACCCAGGCCATTCTATAATTTTGTGATTCTTGTATTGACAAGGGAACTTGAGAAGCTCTGTGGTCAGTAAGGCAATGAGAAAGTTCATCCAGCTGAAAACTAATCTTCCTCCTCCTCTCCCCACAAAGGAAAAGAAAAAAAAAAAAAAAAAAGAAAACCCAGTTAAATGATGAAGATGCGAAACAAACGAGGAGACTCTTAGTCACAGCCCACTTCTTCCTGTTCCCTGCCTGCTGCCAAGATGATGTGCAGTTCGACACCTTGCTTGGGGAGTACTAAAAATATTTGTAGTTGGCTCTGACTTCTCTCACTGTTGCTAAACTATTCACAAGAGGAATTCACTTACTTCAGTTTAGGGCTCAACTGGACTTCTTTTTTTCATATTTCCAGATTCATGTGAACCTTTAATTACATGCATGTGTTCCCTACGTACATCATGCTGTAAGAAATTTCCGCATTTAAAACTGCCATACAGACAGGCAGTTCCTCAAAAGTTAGCAAGGGCAAGTGTTCAAATTTGTAAATAGTTAACTGTGATGACTAAGCTTGCAGCACATCGATGCTGTGACTATTGCTTGCTCTGTATAAGGCTCCAGCTGTGTTATTAACTACCATAGGTGAGCTCTCACCATATAGATCTGCTTAATGAACATGGACTCTTCTCAATCACGTTGAACTTGTTACAAACACTAGATTTGTGGTTTGTAATCTGAAGCAAACTTGCAAATGTCACATATTTAAATATATTGTTTAGCCACCAAACATACCACACCATGCGAGACTATACTTTTCACTCTGTTGTGTCACATAACTACTCTACTGATCAAAATAAATTCATGGAATCATAGAATATCCCAACTTGGAAGGGATCAATGAGTCCAGCTCCTAACAGCTGTCACTGTCACAGTAAAATGTAACTTATTCATAGTTCAGCCAAATGACTTCACACTTCCTTTCTTTGAGCTGCATCTGCTGGGTTTCCTTTTGGACTTCCCCTGTTGCAGGCACTCCACAACCTCTAACTATCAGAGCTGGGCTCAGCTTCATGTTGTATAAAACACTCTAAACTTCATAGTTTCATGCTGTTTCCGAACTAAGTTGTAAAGCCTCATCCCAGAACAGCTTAAAACTAAACAAAGTGAAAGCACAAGAAATCACATGGCCCTCCTCCGTGGGAACAGAGATAGTCCCTTTCATTTCAGCCAAGAACCACTGGCTTGAATCTCCAGACCTTGTAGGTGCAGCCATTTCTGAGCTCAAGAGGCCGTTTGCAGTAGTCAGTGGCTGCTCTGAGTGACCCTGAGCAAACAAAAAAAAAAAAAAAAAAAAAAAGATGCCACAGGACCTACTTCTCTTTTACACCAAAGGGTAGAGCGAAATATATCTGTAACTGAAGGCTGTGTAAGAACAGTGTGACCCGATGACAAAGTCCGTAAGAGGAAGCCCAGTCGGCATGCCTCAGTGCAGTAACGCCAGTGGCTTTCATGATGGTGAGAGAATCACATGATCCCAACTCAAACTAGGCTATGTTTTCATTATTTATGTCTCTGTACTTCATAATACACTGGTTCATGCTAGGAGGTAGTTGCAAGCAAGTTGATCTCGGACTACAGGTAATCCTACACCTAGCTGAAGTTTCAGGCTACATAAAAGGAGCAATTAAGTCTCTTTATGAAGACAACCAAAGTAACTGCCCATGGCAGGTAGCTGTATAGTAGAGTTGGGCTAAAATTAAGCTATTCACCCTGAGAGATTTCCATATAATTAACATGAAGGTGGGGAACATGGGACTGTTTTGCAAACTGTGGATACTGGAAAAAGAAGACAACTGGGAAATCAGCAGACAGCAAGAACACAAATAAGTGCTGTTACAAGGAACTAGGTGGACAAACCTGGAAAGAAAAGGAACTTACTTGAAAGAAAGACTTTGAAACTGTGAAGCTGCCAGCACTTACCTGTTTCAACTCTGTTCTGGTAAACAAGGACATGCTTGCACTTCTGTAAACTAATTGTATTGCATCAGACCTGATTTGTGTAGTAAATTTCTCCCACTAAGACAAACAGTCACGGCTTTAAATATTAACTTGTTGCTCATTGGCAATAAGCCAGACTATTTCAATAATTAAAGAAATAACATAGCTTTTATTTTCCTCTCAGGTATCTCAGACGAATTCATAACTCCCATGTTTAATTTTTATAAAAGTATTGGAGAGCTGAAGATGACACAGGAGGAATACGCACTGCTCACAGCAATAGTGATCCTGTCCCCAGGTAACTCCTAACTCAGAATTCAATGTTAGTGTGTTTGGAAAGAAAGCATGAGGAGTGTGACCTGAGACTTATGAAAACTCACTTTCTACACAGAATAAGTGAGCGTACATTCTAGTTTTCAGTATATTCTGTTGTTCAAACAAAAGGCTGGTGACAGCAACAGCACCCAAGGGAATGGCGTGGAGCTGAGTCAGGGAATGGTCAGGCTGGGTGTGAGGAAAAGGTTTTTCACCAGAGGGTGGTGGGCATGGAACAGGCTGCCCAGGGCAGTGGGCATGGGACCAAGATGCCAGAGTTCAAGAAGTGTCTGGACAATGCTCTCAGACCTGATTTTTGGGTGGTCCTACAGGGAGGCAGGAGTTGGAATCAACAATCTTTAGAGGACTTTTCCAACTTGAGATACCTTGTGATTCCATGATTCTGTGAAATCCAAACTCCAATTGCACGATCTGGCTTTGTGTACAAGGAAGAAAAAGTGCTTAAATACCTTGCTTAAAATAATTGTTGGTAGCTTATCAGTGCTCAGAGCAGTGGGCTTACTCCCTTAGAATATCCCAGGTGTGGTTACACGTGCATTGCAAGTCCATTGTGGAATGATGCATTTTTTAAATGGCAATTGGGAAATCCTATATATTAGAACTGAGAATGACAATGAAGGGCTTCGGCCTCTATTGTACAAACAGCAGTGGGAGAGAGCAAGAGGACAGCAGGGAGTTGTCCTTTAGGCTGTAGAGAGCTGAAAACTGATCTTCCACAGTAGTGCCAGGCTTTGCTATAAAAAACAATTCCTTGACAAGACAGAAGTAACCTACAAATTATGAAGAAGTTGTACAGTGCCTTATACAAACTGACTCCTGAGGAAGGGACAGGAGAATCCCAGTGCCTCAACACAAAAGACTGAAAGAGCGATGGAATTGCTTCACCTTTGCCATCTCATGTGAAACTTACTTGGATCACTAAGGCTTCCAAGTAAGGTTTTATGCAAGATGGTGAAGTTGAAGCAATTCCATTACTCTTTGAGTTAGCGCTGATTAGGAATGTTTTTACACTAAAAAATTAATAGAATCAATGAATCATTAATTTTGAAAAAGGCCTCTAAGGTCATCCAGTCCAACCATCAGCCCATGCCCACCATGCCCACTGACCATTACACTCAGTGCCACATCCACACAGTTCTTGAACGCTTCCAGGGATGGTGACCCCACCATCTCCCTAGGGCAGCCTGTGCCAGTGCCCAACCACTCACTCTTTCGGAGAAGAACTTGTTCCTATGAAAACGCTGAACCAAAAAATACCACGCTGAGGCATTTTTATTCCCTCTTCATTTGAAAAGAAATGTTCTTGTTAGGTGTGAACATCAGTGCCCAATGAAATATATTGATATTTGTTTATCAGAGTAAATACTCACATTGCATCAACACATACATTTGCTGATTACTTCTTTCCCTTTTGAAACCCAAACCAGACCGACAATACATAAAGGACAGAGAGTCGGTGGAAAGGCTTCAGGAGCCACTGCTGGATATCCTGCAGAAGTTCTGCAAGCTGCACCACCCGGACAACCCGCAGCACTTTGCGTGCCTCCTGGGCCGCCTCACCGAGTTACGGACGTTTAACCACCACCACGCAGAGATGCTGATGTCCTGGAGAGTGAACGACCACAAATTCACCCCTCTCCTCTGCGAGATCTGGGATGTGCAGTGATGGATACCCGTTGTTTTTATTTCAGGACAAACGTCTTTTTTAAAGGACCACACAGCATTTATTTTCATAGGAAAAAAAAAAAGCAATATACCACAGTGCATTCATTTTTCTTTACTGCATTTTTATAGAAACTTGCCATGGAGCTCACAAAAGCCGTTTTGTGCGTTATACACAGAATACTGTATAGCTGTCAGATTTCCGCACGTGAGTTATAATTTTCTCTGTATTTATATTCTCTGATCGGAAAGAATTCAGCGGCTCCTCGCAGGAACCCCACTAATCCCTCCTGCAATTGCTCTCTTTGCAGAGTTCCTCTTGCAAAATGGGGCGATGCGGGCTTCCATTCACATTTTTCATTGCTGTGTTTTTGTGCTTGGCCTCCATTAAAGAATATATTCCAAATATTTACCGCAATAAACCAGCAGAAATGATTAGTGCCACGGTGTGTAACTGAAATGTGCTCGCCGCGTGAGACAGGCAAGCTCCGATTTCTTCACAAGATGAAAAATCACCACGGGCAGAGGGACACGCACGCACACAAGGCACTTTTCATGACGCAGACATGTAAACTTAATCTGTGTTCGTACTAATTCAAAGTAAAATCAGGTTATTTTGCTCTAGAGCGGTAACGTCCAAGAGCCCACCGCAGGACGGCGGCCGCGGCCTCACAGCCGAGCCCCGCGCAGCGCGCTCGTACCGAAGCGGCTGTGGGCGGGCGGTTCCCCTGCGGGGCGCGGCTGCCGGTGGCGCGGAGCCAGGTGCGGCCCCGCCCCGCGGGCGCTGATTGGCTCTTTCGAACGGAGCGGCCGGCGCGGGGCGGGGGTGCTGCGCTGCTTGGCGGCGGTGTGGAGCGATGGGTGCCGGGGTGTAGGTGAGTGTCTGCGGGTGGGCACCGGGAGCGGGACGGTGGTTCGCAACTCGGTAACTCTCGTGCAAGGAGCCCAGCCTGGGAAGGGAGAGGGAAGCGCTCGCATGGAACTTTGTGAATCAGTTCTCGCGTTTGGGGGTGCGGTGCTGGTATTGTAGGAAGCGTGCCCCGTGTTCTGGGCTACAGCGCCCATCAGGGTCGCTTAAAGAGCTGGGAAACGTCGGTTCTCCTCTCTGCCGAAAGGCTGGCGGTGCTCCAGGGATGCTGTTTGCCATCTCTGATGTAAGTATCAGATAGGGACAAGGGGACTCAGGGCATAGCTGGCTTGTGCATGGTAGTGATAAATGTGGCAGGTGGGCCTTTTATAATAAGGTGAGATTTTATATCAAGTCCCAGCACGTTCCTCCTGCTGGTCAGAGGGCATTGAGCCGTGCTTCCCGCTGTGTTACTTCACTGGAAGAAAACTGGAATGGAAAAGTGAGAAAATAGAGCTGGTTCTCGTGAAGCAGGATGGCTCAGTGCAAGCGGTGGCATGGGAGGACCAGAGGCTCCCAAACGGGATGCTTTTGTGGGGAAGGAACTGTGGCAGCCTCCAGGATGAAGTGCTTGCCCTGAAGCTCAGGTGGGCTCCAGCCCTGCCAGGTGCCCCTGGGGCAATGTCTGCTTTCACTGGAGGGTGTGGAAAAGCAGCCCCAAGGAGAGCCGCCAGCACGCTGTGATGCCACCCCACAGCCCTGCTGTGCCAACTCGTCTGGTTCCTTCCCTTTCATGCCTCTGAGGCCTCCCCAGGGAAGCAGAGCTCCCGCTGACTCAGCCGTGAGCGAAAGGGCTCTATAATTGCCGTAGTGACAGGGAGTAGCGCTCTGAGGATGTGTCATGTTGTGCTAACCTCTCTTCTGCATGGTAGGGTCTATGAGTGGAAAAAAATCTTGGATGTCTTTAGGTAGGTTTCAACAGGTCCTGATCTGACAGCTTCTTTCATTCCACAGTGTTTAAAAATGTGGGTTTCAATAGGTGCTGTCAGACTCACCTGCAGATTCCAGCAGCTCTGGGCTAGTCTGCTGTACCGGCCTTTGGGTGCTGATGGAGCTGAAGATGAAGTGTGATATTTCTTAAGCAAAGGGTGAGGATGTGAAAGTGTTCCTTCCCAAGGGTTTTTAATGAGCCTGTGAATCCCTTTAAGTTTCATATGATACATGAATGGCTGCTTCATCTGCGTATTAAATAGCTGCAGAGCTGTGGATTTTTTTTGTTTCCTTGTAAACGGAGCCATCTAATGAAATGGGATTTGGATGTGGTTCATTTTGTGCTACAGAATGGCTTGTAATTAGGGTAGCATGTCTTGCTGGTTGGGGCCCACATATTCAACCTGATACAACTATTACTGAGCGGGATATCTTGGGCAGCATCTAAGAGCATGTGCTTAGCACCCTAGAGTACTGGCGTTGAAGGGCTTTGGTGCTTCCTCAGATTGGGAGAAAAGTGGTGGACAGGGTACTTGGGGAACAAATGGTTTTGTGTGACTGTCAGACTGTATCTGCACCCCTCTTCCTGAGAAATGCCTGTCCCTATGCTGTGTTAGGTACCTTATTTTCCACCTCTCTCTATTAAAGCTCCGGTCCTTTGCTGGAGGCTCAGCAGTCAGCCAGCTGAAGGCAGCTGTTGCCTTCCCCAGTGTATAATTTGGGTCTGCCCACCTGTCTTACTGCAAATCAGTGTGGCTGTATCAATCTTGCCATCAGGTGCTGTTAAGCAGTGTTTCTCCTCTCCGCCCATCCCATGGAGCCTGTGGGCAGCAGGAGGGCCAGAGATATTAGATGGGATGTGTTTCCTGGGAGTGGTGCTGGTGGTTGGGAGTTTCTACATCTGCCAAGCACTGGGCTTTATTCCTTGATTGGGAAGCACTTTCCAGTTTCTACTGCTTCCCCTGTTTTAAGGGGGGAAGCAAGTAGACAGCCTTCCTAGGCACCTTTAAGATACCAGCTGGCCTGGAAATGCAAATGGCATAGCCAGACGTGGCCAAATGACATATTACATATTCATTCTGGAGCCTTTTCTTTCACACCTGTGAGCCCTGGGCACTAACTGCTTGCTGAATGAAGATGAGTTGAAGAACCTGATATGGTTCAGCAGCTGGAGCTGCCTGAATTCAGTGTCAAATACTTGTTTCATTCATTACAAACTCTTGATGCAGAAAAACCAACTGGCTTTAGGAGAAATTCAATTTGGTTATGACCACCTGCTACTGCAGTGTTTTCCTCACCATTCCTCTCATTGCCAGCAATGAGGCTGTGTTCATCTGCGTTCCTTGCAATCTGAGAACAGACGGATGTGGGATCTGAGAATGACAAACTCTTAAGTTAACTTTCACTGTCAGCTAAAACTCCACTCATGATAGTCTGTTCTGATGAAATTTTTCTGTTAAATGCCATTCAGGTACCCGAACGCTAAGTGAACCCATTTCTCTTTCTAGAGAGCCCTGATGCATACAGGCTTACAAAATGACTTGTTTTAAAACAGGAGGCCCTTGAAGTTCAAGTGCTACAACTCTTCTCCTCAATCTCCATATTTATGACCAGTTTTTGTTGGGTATTTCTGCAGAACTGCAGATGCTGAACATTTTTGTGATAGCTGTCGTGTGAATATTTTGCTTTGTTCTTGCTTCAAGCACTCCCTGTGAATTAGGCTGCCTTTTGTTCTTCCCGTGGCAGTTAGCATGCCAGATTGTTGGCCAACGTGGAGATCCTTGTTTTAATGAGACCAGCTTCTCTGCTGGCTGTTCTGCTGTTGTTTTATTTATTTCTTTTTGATCAATGAAGCCTCTTACTGCGACTCTCTTGGGACAATAGCTTCCTTATGCTAAAGGAAAATGTATTCCCCTGGACAGAGCTGTGGGAAGCATAACATGCTCATTAGTAATGCTTGGTATATACTCTGCCCTTCCCTTGTTCATTCATCGAAGGAGAAATGGCATTATGGCTCGTTGTTGTTGTTTTTTTTTTTTCCTTTAGGAAATAAAAGTGAGGGAAGGGAGAAAATACCACTTAAAGCATCTTTGGTAAAGTTGGAGTAGTGCTGGCAGTCCTGCTAGAAGGAAGTGTCTTCAGTCTGGAAACAAAGTGCTTGCTCCGTTGCCTGTGATAGAGGTAAGTTGTGTGAAATTTCTGATGTGTGTGGTCCTATGTAATGCGTGAGGCTCAAGTATGTGGAAGTATTAGATCCTCTGAGATGGGCCTTTTGTCTTAGGAAGGTGAGGTTGCATCTGGAGCAGGAGTGAAGAGTTATTAAGTTTCAAAGGAAAATGTGTGTTTCAACTATTGATGTCATCTGTCTGCAGTCTAATTGCCAGCCTGATCTTAACTAATGCACCAAGAAAATTGTTTTTAACTGGCTTCAAGACATGCACAGGTATGTGTGTATAGGCAGTAATGCACTCTGCTACCACTGTGGAGAACTATGCTGAGTAAATTCCTTCTAGTAATTGCCCGTATAGCTAATGCTGCATGTTTCTAAACCTCGAGTCTGTAAGGAGAGACTTCATGATCCCCAGCCTGGTGAAGAGTTTGTGCTGTTTTTTTCCTATTGTTGAAAACACTGCTGGAAAAGGAACAGGGAAGTGTTGACCTGATTGCACCTAAAACTTTTCTTAAGGATTGTTTTGCAAGGGCATTGTCCTCATAGCCTGCAGTGTTGCATCAAAAACTTACATTTATGGTAGCTGCCTGGAAATCCATGTCAAAATCCATATAGAAATTAATAAAACCATTAATTCCTTTTGTGTATCTATGCAAGAATAAATCTCATTCTTTGAAGTGATTTCATCAAGATTGTTCTTAATCTTTGAAGTATTTTGTGTAAGCTCAGGATGTGTATGTGTGTCTCTGTACACGTACAAGATATGCTTGTGGTAGGTTGGAAAGGAAGAGTAAATGCAAGCCATCCCAAGTCTGAGAACTGTTTGAGTATTAGTATTTCTCTTTGGAAAAGCAAATGCCTTATAGCTCCTTAAACCAATGCAACCCTTTGAGCATTATTTATGCACTTGAAGTTAGTTGCTACTTTAAGCTGTAATAACTACTACTTTATTTAGAGACAGAGTGCCTAAGGAGCCTGAATACTGAATTAACACCTTAAATGCTAAAGTAACTATTCCTTTTTTGCATCCGTGTCTTCTTAGACTTGCTCATGTTTTGCCTGGTGGGTTCTTATTGGGATCTTTTAGAAAGCAGGATTGACTGTATTTAAACTTCTCTTTCCCCAGAGGGAGAAACTGATGTAAATACTGGTGACCATGCAGAATGCAGTTCAGGTAAATACCTTTTGTAATGTTTGAATTCTATATTATATGTTTTTATGTAAACATCTACCCTGAAGCAGATGAAATGACAAAATCCCCAGAATAATCTCTAGCCTTTTAAACAAATAAATAAATAGGAGTTTTCCCTTTCAATAAGTGCAGCATCTGTGGTGAGATAGATAACCCAAAGTTGTGATCAGATAGGCAATACTTTCAGTTTCTAAGTGCTATTTCCTTAGAAGTTTTCTAAGTCATAGGATGAGAATGTTTGAATCTTTATTGATAATAAGAAAGTGTTTCTAAAAACCTGCATATTAGTAAATTGCTACAAAAATAGAAGTCTGTATTTTAGACACGCATCCTTCCTGAGCTGAAGAAAGTAGCTAAGGATATTGGAAGGACTCTTTCTTTTTTGGGAATTCTATTCATGCCATTTCAGCATGATCCTTCTCTTCAAGTGTGACAGTATCCATTAATCTGAAAACATGGGATCCTTAAGAGAAAAGCTAAGGGTTCATGTCCAAGAGCTGTGTATGCTCACATTTTTTCTTTTAGTATCATCACTTTAATGATTTAAACTCTAAATGCACCTGAAATGATTGATCACAGAAGTCAGTAGTCTGTAATAAGTTATATGATAAACTACAGGTTGTATTAATATGTGGTGAGGAGGAAGAAGACAGAATAAATGTGTTATGTGTGTTTTGTTTGCTTATTGAAGAAGATCTGCTTATAGCCACAATAGGGTAACTGTGAAAACAAGAGAATGAATGTGGTAGTGCTTTTGATGGAGGAGTTACTAATGAGAACTGTACCATTCTTGATTACTGCTGTGTTGGTGTGTCTGTCTGAAGGGAAATTAGAACTTACTCTTTGAATTATGCTAAAGATGTATTATTCAGAACCGTGAGATTCCCTCCTCTGTCTGCAGATATTACAGCTCACTGTCTTGCGCATACATCTTCTGCAGGTGTGGTTTGGAGATGACCTTCCTTTAAGTCCTCGAAGTCCTCTGACTCCCAGACACGGCCCAGGTCTGGCAGATGTGTGCCTGTATGACCAGTGGATATCTGTGCGGCATGAAGCAACTTTGGTGCCTATGCAAGAGGACCTGTCAATCTGGCTGTCTAGCTTGCTGGGTGAGGTTAAAAATAAATCATTGTGTAATAAATTTCAAAGTGCATTCAAATATCCAACTCAACACTGACACTTAATATCCATAATATTAATAGCATTTGAGCCTGAGTGATAAGGAGAATTGCATTAAAAATGCATGTTCTGTTTTCAGATCTTATTAGCTTCCAATTGTTAGAGGTAAGGTGATTACAGAATCACAGAATGGCCAGGGTTGGAAGGGATCTGAAGGATCAGGAATCTCCAACCCTCCTGCCACAGGCAGGCCACCAACCTCCCCATTTAATACTAGACAAGGCTGCCCAGGGTCCCATCCACCCTGGCCTTGAACACCTCCAGGGACGGGGCATCCACAACCTCTCTGGGCAGCCTGTTCCAGCACCTCACCATTCTCTCTGTGAAGAACTTCCCCCTGACATCCAACCTAAATCTTCTCCTTCAACTTAAGACCGTTTCCCCTTGTCCTGCTGTTATCTACCCTTTCAAAGAGTTGACTCCTCTCCTGTTTGTAGGTTCCCTTTAGGTACTGAAAGGCTGCAATGAGGTCACCTCCCAGCCTTCTTTTCTTCAGGCTGAACAAGCCCAGCTCCCTCAGCCTGTCTTTGTAGGGGATGTGTTCCAGTCCCCTGATCATCTTTGTGGCCCTCCTCTGGACCCTCTCCAACATCTCTCTGTCCTTCTTGTACTGGGGGCCCCAGACCTGGATGCAGTACTCCAGATGGGGCTCACAGGAGTAGGGTAGAAGTGGACAATCACCTCCCTGTCCCTGCAGGCCACTCTTTTTCTGATAGAGCCCTGGGTACCATTTGCTTTCCGAGCTGCAAGAGCACACTGCTGGCTCACGTTAAGCTCTTCATCCATCAAGACCCCAGGTCCTTCTCTGCAGGGCTGCTCTCAAGGACTGCTCCTTCCAGTCTGTATAGATGCCTGGGATTCCTCTGGCCTAAGTGTAAAACCTTGCACTTTGCTGCATTGAACCTCATTAGATTAATCCTTCTAATTTATGGTTCTGAGTCTTGTTAGTCTAATTAAGTGAATATTTGATTTTACTTTATTTATATTTCTACTAATTTTCAGTCTGTGAAATCCCCTTTTTTTTTTTTATTACGTGGAGATATCAGCAGCATATGGTTGGACTGGATAATCAAGTATTTATTTAGAATGAATGTTTTGCAATTTTCTTTCTAAAAGCTTTCATTATTTTATTATTTAGGCATCAACTTCTTTTATTGGTCTAGCCCATAGATGGGAAGAACTACTAAAGTTACTCAGCCTCTGTTAGATGAGCCTAAGTAACAACAGTGCTGAGTGTTGGTCACCAGGCTTTTCTTTCTTTGTGGGCTCTAGTTTAACTGAAGTCTTTACCACTGGAACACTCTTGAAGTTGCCTATGAGTTCACATGAAATTTCTTTGTCTTCTGTGGAGTAACTCCAGTATTGGCCTTTTTTTTTTTTTTTTTAGGAATAGAAGTCACAGCAGAGCAACTGCTGGAAGAACTTGATAATGGAGTATTACTCTGCCAATTGATTGGTGTTCTTCAAAACACAATTAAAAAATCATGTAGCTCAAATAATTTAAGGGTGAGTTATATTTAATTTTTTTAATGCATAGATAAACACTTTAGTAAGGAAGGCAAGATGCCTAACTTCTGTATTTTTGTCCAAACCTTTTTTGTTTAAATTTAAAGCAAATTAGTATTTGTTTTAAGACTACTATCTTAAAATTATATTGTCCCTTGTTCCCATATTCTTTCCTCTGTTTTCTAAACCAAGCTCTAAAATGTTGCAGTGAGTTTAAGTTTAGTTGATCTGGGGTTTTCTGTTTGTGCTAATTCTATAGCTATGAACAGAACTTGGGAGGAAGGAATCATTATCTAGACATGTGAAATCAACAGATATAACCCAGCAAAGGGGGAAATGGGGAAATAACTGTATAGACAGCTCTGTAACCTCTCCCAAAAACTTAAGTATTGTTAATTCTGTGACTATTAATGTGGATAAGACTGAATAACATCTACTTTAGAGTAGCTTTTTTAATAGAATGCATGTTGTTTTTCTTGAACCAATAATAAATACCAACCACTGCTTCTATACTCCAAATTTAGCATTTTTTTTTTCTGAAAATGTGCTTTGAAATCTGTTGTTAGTGTTTATGTGCACAGTGTACTTTGTTTTCTTCTCTTGCCAGAATTTTCCAATGAGAAAAGTTCCATGTAAGAAGGATGCTCCATCAGGATCTTTTTTTGCCAGAGATAACACAGCCAACTTTCTTAACTGGTGTAGGGCCATTGGAGTTGATGAGACTTACCTCTTTGAATCTGAAGGTTTAGGTAAGTCTACCTTTTTCTAAGACTTTTCACGGTCTGCATGTGGATAACTGTCTCACCAGGGAGAGCTGTTGCATGTAGTCCTACAAAGCTTTTGTCATGACTGCATCTGTCTTGTGCAAACATTTATTTTAGGGCAGTTTTGTGTAAAAGCACTGAAATATCAGTTCAATAACTTCTCTAAAGTGAAGGATGCTTTTCCAGGCTTCTAGAAGTTGCCACGTGGGAGGAAGAAGGGTAGTGAGAGCTGTGCAGTGAACTCACCTGTTTTGCTTCTGTAAAAAGCCCTGCCAAGAAACAGAGAAGTTGTGGTGTCCCTTCCCTTCTCCGCTCCTCATTCTTTCTGTATGCTGGAAGACCACACGGCCATGGAGTCAACTCACGATAAAATCCTTTGGTATTAGAGATAATTCTTATTGGAGAAAGCATTCAGAATAATGCACTTAATGAACTACTAAGTTTGGTAACTGCATTAGAGCGTTGGGGCTGAAATGGCAACAGTCTGTTGGTAATTAACATTTAGTTCAAGTTTTACTTGGAGTAACTATAAACCATGTGTATTCTCCTGTCTTAACAGGATGGTTATACACACAGTTGGCAATATTTATTTTTATGCTTGCCACAGTGCTCAGCCCATCCCTTGTAATAAACAACTACTAGACAGATAATTCCAGAAGGAATACTTTTTTTTTTTTACTGCTAATTAAGAGAAACTGCTTCCATTGTATGGAAATAATGTAATGCTCTTCTACCAGTTATTATGTCTCTAGAAAATAATTAATATAAACTTCTCTTTGGCAGGCCAAATACTTTAAAAAAAAAAAAAGAAAAGAAAAGAAAAAAGAAAGAAAAAAAGAAAAAAATCTTCCTCTTAAGCAGAACAGCAAAAAAAAAAAAAAAGAAAAGATCTTTTGTTTACAATAATCATATGAGTATGTCACAAAACTTACTAGATTTTCTTGAAGTCTTTGTGCCTTTTAATGCTATTTAAATGAGAGGTGCTGGTTTGACTAGCTGCTTTTCTTTTAAGCTCTCCTTGCTAGTTGGCCTGCCTCTGCCTTCCCTACTGCATCACGCATCTTTTAAAGCAGTTGAGAAAACATCCTTACTTGCATCTGTCTCATTCTAATTTAACTAGGGACTGTATCTTCTTTTCAGACCCACAAAATACAGATGAGCAGGAGAATTGAGATATAAGAAAATTAGTCCTAGTATTTTTTAATTTTAACTTGTAGGAATTACACTGTTTAAACATCTAAGTTCCTTTAGCTGGCTGGGTAACTAAAACCAGTTTAGCCTCCCCATACATACATAGAGATAAGTAGATAGGATTTCATAATGCTGTGGCTTTTGCTCATCGTCAAGTGTTTTGAAGTCTGATTGTAACTCATGACACAAACTTGCTGTGTGGCATAAATATCATCTGTAAGCCTATTTGGCAGTTGAAATAAGCTGACTTGAAGTCTCCTTGATGACATATTCTTTCCATTGATGTTCTCCATCAAACTTTCAAGCTGTTCTTTATGAATGAAATAGGGGAAAGACAACCTGGCAATTGTCCTTTTCATGTCAAACGTGTAGCAACACCTCGTGATAAATGTGGGTGGCCATGGAGAAAATTAATTTAATTGTTCCATGTTATCAGAGTGAGTAGCCATTATGAGGTGCCCTTTAACATCAAGTCTTGGTTTCTGCTAGAGGTGTAACTGAATTTTTCTCTTTGGATTCAGGCAAATTATGCCTTTTTTCTCAGAGCTGACAAAACCACTTATGGAAAAAAAAGATAAAAAAATCTCTCATACCTTTTTGGATTATGGCTGGCTCAACTTTCTGTTGAATTAGCCATCCTATCAGATCCTTAAATAAGTAGAATTACAAGTTGGAGTAGATGATATAACTTTGTGAAACCAGATGATCTTTCCAACACAAGCCATTCTATATAAGCAAAAACATTTGACTTCATGCTCAGCTTATACATTAGTAAATGTTTTAGTCTTGTTTAAAGTGAAATCATCTTACTTATCAAGCTGAACATCAGAAAGATATTAGGTTTAATCTGTAAATATGGAGCTGGCTCATTAAGTTTCTCTTCAGAGTGAATTTTCATGTTCTGTTTAATATTGGTACTGCGCAGCATGAAGGAAGTTTATCTAAATGGTATACCATATAAAATTCTATCTACAGTTTTTCCCATTTCTTATGCTTAATGGTGTGTGAAGAACAAGGGCATGTGTGTAGAGTGAAGCAAGCTCAATGACATCTTTTTTCTAGCCCTTGGTTTCTGAGTTATTGGGCAGCATTCCTCAATGGCTAAGAAAGCATGAGGCTCATTTGTTTTCTACAACATTCATACAGCTGTTTGCGGGCTTCTTAGAAATTGTTGACAGAGTCTCAATTTTGAGGTTTAAATGGAGGGCTGAGGAGGAAGTAATTACTTGTGTGAAGTTTTAAACTATTCTCTGTCCCCTTAGTTTTCCCTAAGCACTGCAAGAAGCAAAACCAAAGTAGACCTTGTTTTCTTGTGCTCTTCCATTCTTTAAAGTGGCATTAGAAATAATTGAGTGCTCTCTTTCAAAGTTGTCAAGAAAACCCAGGACAGCTGCCAGAGTCATCTGCATACAATTTGGCTATCTCTTCATCCTTCTCTCTCATTCTTCAGCTTCAGGATTCGTCTGTATTCATGATTCAAGATTTAGGAGCTCGTTATTTCATGTGCCTACGTGATCAAATGCATACAGCTGTTAGAGCTGTTCTGAAATAAGGGGTGTGCTGTGCAGTGAATGTAGGCAGAGTTGTGGAGAAGCAAAGCCTAGCACAAAAGTGCTAATAACATATCTGAGCTAATGTTTCCACTTCACTGTGATCACTTCCAATACCTGCTATTTGAGGTTGAGTGTTTGACCAGTATCATCCTCACCCCTTTCTTACAGTCACAGGTTTCCACCCTCTTTCTCAGAGCACAGCCTCACCAGGATGCATGGTTCTGAAGAAAACCTTTGGTTGGATAGTGTGGGGGCTAATAAACAGGGAGTGAAAGAACCATACTGCATGGGGTAGGGCTCCACAGTGGACCTGCCAGTGGCAAAGTGATGTCTTCTAGTACAACTGTGTAAATCTGCCATGAGATGGGCCCTGAATACTTTTAAGAGCTGGAAGAAAAAGATGTTCCTAAAATGATTACAATCACCTGGATCATTCTTTCACAGCCAAAGATTTAAACCACTCAAGCTGACTGGCTGTGCATAGGCATCCACTTGTCAGCTGGATCACTTGCACCTAGTTCTGCAGTTTTCACCTATTGAATGAATGTGCATATCTGTGTATGTCTATGAATTAACAGACAGTATATTTTCCTATTTGCTGTTGTTGAATGCTCTTTGTCTGCGAGACTGCTATAATGTCTATGGGGAAAGAGAAGGAAAAACTTCAGCTTTCTTGCTTTCCATTTCACATCTAGGAGTGTCATGGTTTTGTGATTTTTGGTTTTCAGTATTCCACAGCGTAAAGGCAACTGCAGCTGTGTTAGAATGGATTTAGATGCTTTTTTGGACAAGAAAATTAGAGTTGGAAAGCATCTAGTGCTTAACCACAGTATAGTACACTTCAGATTGGCTCACTGGAATAATGTCACTTGCCTCTGAGCAGAATGATGACTGAATTGCAGTCATCTGCTCCTTATTCTCTTTATCCAATTGCAGAGGCCTTCCCACAATAAAAATGGGTTACAACTCCCTTTTATTTTTGATTCCTTTTTAGTTTTGCACAAGGATCCAAGACAAGTGTATCTCTGTTTGTTGGAAATTGGACGCATTGTATCCAGGTATTTGATCCATTCATGACTTTAAATAAAAACTGAAGAATGTATTCTATTAATCAAAAGCTAAGATGGTCTGTGGCCATTAAATGCAAAGCAGTAGATGTTAAGTATGTGCAGAAAGTAATGAGTAGCAGATCTAGGACCACTGTATGAGTATTTTTTTCAAATATTAATCGTTTTATTTTCATGAGGAGGTGCTGATCCACATTGCTTTTTATGACCATATGTTCAAATGTTACCTTCAGCTTATAGATACGTGTACATCTTGGAAGAATTCAGTGAAGAGTCCTGAAGGTCTTTTTTTTTTTTTTTTTTTTAAGTTTTTTGGAAGTTTTAATAAAACTTTAAATAGGAAGCAACTCTTTATTGTTCTCTAAATTGACTTCTAATTTGTTTCCAGCACAGAGTAGGAAGCTTTAAGGTAGTTCCTGACCAATTCAGATAAACTAAGTTTTTCAGGTTTAGCAGTATTGTTATTGCCTTCTGTGGTAGCTCTAGAACCACCTTTGTGAGGATTTCTTCCAGAAACTTGGAGCTCCTCCTCCTCTTTGGATTATCAAGACAGTAATTCCTATGACTGCTGTAGTGCTGTTCACTTTTAGTCTAACTACTCACAATTTTTCTTGCTTGTTATAATCACTTATTTGTTTTCTTTATCAAATTATTAATTAAAATTTCTACTTTTGTAATTGTGTTGAGATATGGAGTTGAACCTCCTGTGCTCGTAAAACTGGAGAAGGAAATTGAGCTAGAAGAAACACTGCTAAGAACCTCTGGACCAGCATCACCTGTTGACACAGCAAAGTCATGTTGTCACCATGGGGAGCTACACGAGGCTGTAAGTACTTATTTATTGTGAAATGGTCTTTAAGTTCAACTCTTAGCTTAGTGCTTGTGTGATATGACAGACCGATTTTCATTTAATATCTGTGAGTCTTAAAAAGAAAACAGAAGTGAATACACCTCTTTGAACAGTGAACTTTGTTTTAATGTTATGAAAATACTATTGTATATATTTTGAAGTTAATGCATCAGTGCATGTAACTTACCTTCATTTATCCCTTCTTTCGCTGCTGCTTTGAGCTGCCTCTCATTGAAGTGTTGTGCATCAATATGCTATGGCTAATGTGAACTTCATAAAACGTTGAAGCAAGTTTTGATGAAATGCTTTGGAAAAAAACCTGCATAGCTGTACCAATTGCAAATTAATGTGTGCAGGAAAAGAAATGACTTGTACAACTTGTGAATTGGCCTGAAAGAACTGATGAACAACAATGAATGGACGATGAGATTTGAAATTTAACTTGTTTAAACAGTCCTTTGTGTTGTAATGTAAAGCTTTTTCTTCTTCGAGAACACCTGCCACCAGATTCCCACACTCTGATAACACACTAGTTTTGCTTCTTACCAATAGTTTTGACCTCCTAATTTCCTTGAAGCTTCTAAGTGGCTTTAACAAACGCATCCTCTCTAGCTCTAGACTTATCTGGGGGCTATCTTTCTCTTTGGTTCAGTGTTTTCCTTCTTGGGTGTCACATAGAAGGTTAACTTAAAAGCCTTCTAAAAAGAAAGGGATAATGCTGAAGTGCCCCTGGGTAAGGTGTAGCAATGGAACTGGTTCTGTTGAGGGTTGATTTAGTCACAGAAGAGACCCAGGTACTAGCATTTCAATTTTTTGAAAGAGTTCTGTCTGGAATTTCATACTACTATATAGTAGATAAGTAGATGGACAAATCTTTAAAAAGAAAATAGAAATATGTTAAAATTGAAGAAATTGTGAAAATTGGATTTAGACAACTCCAGAATATTTGACTGCATGCACACTTTTGTTCAGTCTTTTATTCTCTGTTTTGAAGCTTTATGTAGCTAGGATTTTTCTTGTGAGGGAATAAAATTTTCCTTAAGTTTCCTTAAATTAAAGGGAGAAAATATTTGATACAGCGAGATAATGGAATCTCAATAAATGGTTAAATATATGCTTCTGTTAAAATACTAATACATGCTTTAAATTTAAACAATTAGGTTAAACACATAGCAGAAGATCCACCTTGCAGCTGCTCCCATCGATTTTCCATTGAATACTTATCTGAGGGACGTTACAGACTGGGAGATAAAATATTATTCATACGAGTAAGTCGTTTCTCAATATTAAAATCTACATTCAAAATGGGAGATAAATACTTTTGAGTGAAATACCTGATTTTTGTGGTATTATTTCAGGTTTACAGAATGATTTAGGGAGATCACATGACCCAGTCCTGTTTAAAACAGGTCTGGCTAACTAGATCTTAACCACTGATTTTATGGTTAGAACCACACTAAACTGAGCAAGTTGATGCTTTTCTGTGTTTGTAAAATTTTGGTAGTGACTTGTAGTATAACTAAGGGTAATACAGTATAATATCCTGAAAACACTGCTTGTTCAAAATTCATACACATGGGTTTATAAATAACTTGCAGTTAGTTGAACTGCTTCTTCAGGAATAAGAATTTGTGTGATGGATAAAATGAGGGCATTCATAAATTGATCAAAAGTGGAATCTAAAACTGTATACTAAATAAGGATGCTGACAGAATGGTTAATGTATTTTCTACACATATGCTTTCATTATTTCCTGAAACATAATGACTCCTGCAGGAAAAACTAATAAAAGAACTGGGAAGTATAAACCTCTTAGTTATTCCACAATTTTTTTTTTTCTTAAAATGATTCTCCATAAGAAAGGAGATCCTATATCAATTTAAATATTTCATAATATGAGGTGAAAACTTAGGGCTGCATAAAATAAGGTTTCTTATGTTCTTCTGTTCCCACCCCTCTTCCATCATTCTCAGATGCTACATGGGAAACACGTGATGGTCCGTGTTGGTGGAGGATGGGACACACTACAAGGCTTTCTGCTTAAGTATGATCCCTGCCGAGTGCTTCAGTTTGCAACTCTGGAGCAAAAAATCTTGGCATTTCAGAAGGGGGTCACCAGTGACAGTATCTCCAGCTCACCAGCCAGAATTCAGGAACCTCCTGTCATGAACCCAATGTCAGCTGTCAATATGTTTCAAAAGCAGCCAGCAAACCTCCCTACTCCTGTTCCAGCCCTAAAAGCTCTCCATGGGACGACAGCTAAGAAGCCTTTATCTAAACATCCTCAGTCTCCTGCCCTGACTTCACCAAAGGTGCCAGTGCACACATCCTCTGCTGCCAAGTTGTTGTCAGCCAGACCCAAACTAACAGATGCTCAGTCTCCTTTCAAACCATTGATAGGCACCTCAAAGAAACTGGCATCTCCTGCACACCACTCGCCAGCTCCTGTTCCTTCGCTGCCTGCAAGCAAGAGTTCTTCATCTACTAGATCAAGAGCAGCTCTTGTTCACTCTGAAACATTACGCAAACGTATTCGCTCTCCTGATGCTCCAAAGGTGAAGTTTGCCCCAGCCCAAGGCTCCCCAGCAACAGGGATGCATTCTGCGCTCTCAGCATCTAAGAAACAGTTGTCTCAGTTGCCGGCAACAGCTGAAACATTAGCTTCAAAACAAAAGTGTGTCCCCTCTAAATCTAAACCTGTATCTGTCACTAAAACCAAGGTAAATTCTGTTGCTCCGAGGCCAGCCCGGCCACCTGTTAGCAATCTGCATGCTGTTGCCAAGTTTGCACATTCCCAGCAGCTCTATGTGAAATCTCCTTCTGAAAATACTACTCAGGAATCAGGAACTGGGTCTCGGCATCCTCGGAAAGCTCCACAAACAGCTTCTGACCTGGCAAGTAACCTGAAGACTGCTTCAATCCTAAAGCACTCAGCTTCTGTACCTTCCCTGGCAGTTAGTAAAGCATTGAAGTCACCACCTACGTTGGGATCTACGAGGAAAAATCTAATAGCATCTGTCAATAAGACACCAACTACAGAGCATCTACAGACCCAAAATGTCAATAAAACCCCTGAGGTTGGACCCTCCTCATCCAAAACTCCTGAACGCACTCCGCTCTCTGTTGTGCGGCTTCCTCAAACTTCAGCCAAAGTGGCAGTGACCAAAAAAGCAGTGCAGCCCTCCACAAAAACTCAGCCTTCAAGCAGAGACTTGCAAGCCAATGGAAACTTGGTCCCAGCAGCCAAGAAACCTCTCTCTAAAGGAAAATCAGCAACAGCTTGTAACAAAGGAACACCTAGTGCATCAAAAGGGCCTCTTCTGAAGAGCAAACAAGATGATCATTATTTTGTTATGACTGGGAGTAAAAAGCCCAGAAAGTAAACCTATCTGTTAACTTTTCTGTGGAAGTCCCTGTAACGTTCAAATGGGCCTCTGAAAATTGCTATGCGAAGGAGAAAAATATGTTAACTAACACTACATGTGCCATGCCAAATATTAGGCATAATTACATTTTGCTGCATAACTTACAGTAATAACTGTATTTATTTTGCAGTTTTAAAACTTTTTTTAGATATATTTACAAGTAAGCTTGCTTGCACTGTGGAATAGAGGATAACTGTTTGCTGCTAGCCTGACCTGCTGTTGGGAAAGGCAGGAGAGAGGAAGGGGAGCTGGGAATGCTGCTGCTGTTTGTTCTCCAGGGAGTTAAGCTGAGCAATTCTGGTTGTTCTAAGCACGTCTGCATCAAGGCCTGTGGCAAGCGATAGAGCGGTGCAGATGCTATAAAACTTCTAATACCTCAAACAAAATTGTTGAGGGTTTTTTCCCCTTTTTTTTTTTTTTTGCTTAATAATTTTTATGTTTGTTAGTGTTCCAGGACCCCAAATCTGGGTCTCCTGTATGTATTAGAGACATTGGAAGACCTTTTTTTTTTTTTTTTTTTTTTAACTCAGAGGGTGGTGAGGCACTGCCACAGGCTGCCCAGAAAGCTGTGGGTGCCCCATCTCTGGAGGCACTTAAGGCAAGGTTGGATGGGGCCCTGGGCAGCCTGAACTGGAGAGTGGCAGCCTTGCTTGTGACATAGGGTGGGACTGGATGGGCTTTATGTCCCTCCAAATCTACACCATTCTACGATTAGAGAGAAATCTCTGGTCGTCTTCAGTTTGACTGCTGCAGCTATCAGCATTCACTGTGCTCCTACATGCCTTAACATGGCTTCAGCTTGCTTGGGCGTAGAGCCTTAGCTTGCTTTAAATTGCACATAGAAAATCATGGCCTTGACTCTTTTTTTTTTTTTTTGTGCCTTAGCAATGTACTTGTAAAGGCCTGAGGAGGCAACTTTGCTTTGTATGTGTTCCAATGTGACTACAGGTAAGCCTGTTTTTTTCCTAGGAAGCTCTTGCTGCATGGGAAGAAGTACCTGTGTTGCTGTGAGGTCACTTTCCTGCAGGATGGACCCCATGGGGTTGGCATGGGGCCTGCTCAGGCAGAGCCTTGCTGCTCTGCAGGTGTGGCCTTTTTCTATAAAACTGAACTGCTGAATACTTGTTGATGCTTGAGGTTCATTTGTATGGGCAGTCTTAGTCTCTGTTGGCCTTCGCTTTGTTTATGGAGACCTTGCTACTGGCTCTTCTGTATTACTTTTCCTTAGATGAGGAGTAGTTTCCCAAAGAGCTGAGAACAGCCTATCTTTGCCTTGGAAGTGCCGCAGAGTGAAGTGCCATTTACTCTCAACTCCTGAAGGCTCTTAGCGGGTCCATGTTACTCAGCAGAAATGAGTTTCATGGTAGTTGAATAAAAGCTACTGTCTCTGGAAGTAGCATTGTTTAAGATATTTTGGGTTTAATGAACAGTCAGTCCTATGACTGGAGTGATAGGAACTCTCAGGTTTTTGGAGAGACACTGCGACTGCTGACTTCCACAGGCTGTTGTTATTCCTGCTGTCAAGATATTTACTTATGGGTAGAAGAGGCACATGGAAACTGCAGCTTCTGATGCTGTATGTTGAATGTTTTCTTCCTGGAGCTAGAATAAGCAAGCATTGTAAAGTAATAATGAATTCTCATGTGCAGGTGACATTATCAAGCTACCTTTCTGAGCACCTTGTTAGCTTCAGTTATTTATCATTCTATTTATGCATCTCTACTGTACAACTCTGTTTACAACCTGCTGGGAGTAAACAGGAAATAACAATATACAAACTGTTGGAGGCAAATATCAATTTTAATAACATAGAGAGCTCCCACAAACTTATGTTCAAACTTGTATGTGTGGGGAAGGCCTTACTGCTTCTTTATTTTATAAATGCACTGGCCAAAACCACTACTGCAAATGTTAAGAATAGTATTGATTGTAGGGGAGTTAGGTTAAAATTGACATGCTATTTCATACTCTGAAAGCATTTTGCAGTAGGTGACTTGCTTTTAATTTTGAGATCCCATATAGTGAGCTGTGATGCAATATCTCATGCAGTAGATGAATTGGGGTTTCTTTCTGTACCAAGTCAGAGTGGGATGGAGTTTGCTCTCTCCACAGCAGCCCATATGGTGCTGTGTTCTGGATTTGTAGCTGACACGGTGCTGATAGCACTGCAGGTTTTGGGCAGTTGCCAAAATCAGTTTGCACGGCATCAAGGCTTTCTCTTTTCCCCGTGCTGACCCTGACAGCAAGTGGGTTGGGAGTGGGTGCTTGGCTTCTTGCTGGGTTCAAGACCCTCAACACTTTTTGAACTGTTTACAAGTTTCACAGTACTACTATAAGTACCAAGACTCTTGGATCCCAGTGTAACAGGTATCTCAGCATCTACCTTTGAGAGCAATTACTTGAGAGAAAGTAAAGTGGAGGATTTCAACTTTGTAATCTGTTATGTAACAAATTGAATTTTGTTGTTTAAAGTGAAATGGAAAAGTGTAAACTGGGACACAGGCACTGAAAAAGGAAAAGAAAAAAAAAATCACTTCACTGTTGAAAACCTAAACAGTTAATATAAAGATGCTTCATGTGCTATGTATGGGTTAGCTTGGTTTTTTTTATTACAAAAATGGTATAAGTATGATCTAACTTATACAAATAATTGCATTTTTGATCTTTTTATTCAGTCATGTTATAACTGATGATGTCATGTGGCACAAGGTGAGCCAATAATCAAAATGTAACAAAATATCTCCTGCTGAAAATACTCTTTTCTCAATGTTTATGTTGCCAAACAGTAAATCTGATTTTCAACTTTTATTATTTTTTGAGTGGGAAAGATTAGTTGGAACAAGAATCTTACTGAATTCTCCATATGCTTTTGATGTCTTTGAGTACTTATTCTAAATAAACATACACTGCACCTTTTTACATGCACACATTTTTTTCTACTGTCATTTTTTTTTTTTTGTGTGTGTAGGGGGAGGGAATGGAGTTTGCTGTTTCAGAAGGGTTATGTTTTTGCTCGATCACCACTTAAATAATTATAGCTTCCATGTCAGGGTATTATGAGGACATAAATTGCTGTTGTTTTGTTTGGAGTTCAAGACCTCCGAACTATGTTTCAGTAAAACAGTATTTGAGAAGAAGGGGCTTCTTGCTCTTTCCTACTTGGTAATGTGCCTGAGTACTTTCACTGCAGTAGAATTGCCAGGTCATGATCAGAATCAATGGTTGAACACCAGGTGAGAAGGCATGACTAACCCAGGGAGCTCAGATGCAAGCAGTGTAACTGAGTGACTAGAAGAAGTGGAGCCTGGAACCACCCCTCCTCAACTTCATTTAAGGGTTAGCAGTTGAGGGAGTAGCATCCCTGGTGAGAGAGTGGGCTCTTCTCAAGCTGTTACAGGCCATTGGAAGGGGTGAGCTAATTTTCTTTCTTTATTACCTGCTGATCTTCTATAGTGCCTGAACCTCATATTTCTAGTATCCACAGTCCAAATCTATTCTTCTAACTCAGTGAAGTGGAAGTCTTAAGCTCTTGCTTCTCAAATTCCAGAGAAGAATGTGACTTCAAGTTTTGGCCTTGTTCACAACTAGATAATGGAAAATACAGCTTCATTGCTAAGATGGTAGATAAAAACTAGGGCAGCTTCTCTGCTGGTTTGTGAGTGATTGACTTAGAGCTCCATCTTTTACACTTAAGTGGAGTTCCTAACCTGGAGAAGCCAAGTTTGGGGTTTTTTTGTTTGTTTTTTTATCGTTATACTGAAGATGTGCAACTGGCTAACAAATCATCTTGCATCAGTGTTTTCATTTTCTCTGCCAGCAGTATGTTGTTCACTGCAACTATCAAGCTCCTCAAAGCATTATCACTATTCTAGTAATTAGTTGGCTGTAACACTGACTTCTGAAAGGATTGCCTAAAGCAATCATCACAATGCTTTATCCCTCATTTAGATACTGTTAATCCAGTTGTGGAAAATGTCAAACAACCTTCCTCTGACCAAAACAAATCTGGATCTTGTATGTCCTATGGGTTTTGTACATATAGTTGCGGGCTTTGAGTCTCTTTTCTGATTTGCTGTTCCACAGCATGTAAGCTGGAGAAGTGCTGTGTAGTGATCCTCCCTGCCACTGACTTGTGATAATGCAAGTTAAGCATTCTTCAGCATCATTGCTATTGGAAGTCCTTTGGTGGCCAATGGTCTATCATCCATTACAAAATGTGAAAGCTGGCTTATGTATCCTAAGGGCATACTCCAAAGTCATCCTGAAAAATGCAAGAGAGTTATCTGAAGCTACAGATTGCTGTTTTCTTCCCCGAGTCCTACATATTTCACACAGTAAAATGGTGCTTTGCTTATAATGGAAAAAGCCGTTTGCACCATTCCACTGGCAAATCTTGTTCAGAATGGATTACCTTTTTGCTTTTTGTTTATTTCAGATGGACTTTGGCCTTGTAAGAGAATGCTCCATCATTAAAATGTAGGTCATTCAATCTTAAGAGACAGCAACAAAGTCACTGATAAACATAGGTGTGCAGGTTCTGAGAGTTTGTTTGCGTGTGGCTTGATACCATAGCCTTGTAGAGCTGCAGTGCTCTGTGGCACTTCAAATTTTTTCTCCTCTCTGGCAATATCTGGCTTAGGAGAAACATGACAGCGTGAGCAGCAGATACCTGCTACCATCTGGAAAACATCCGGATTAGTGAAGTACACAACCATGAAAGCTTAGTATGTACACAATTTGAAGGACTACATTTATTGTTTGGCAATTTTATATACATAAATTAATTGTTAAAGTTCAAGGCACTTTTCCTTCTAGGGCTCAAGCAGCCTTAACATCAAACAGTGCACCAAATGGATCCTTCTCTGTGTCCCTACCAGGAAACCGAAATCTGTCTGGCAGATCAGGGAGTGCTATGGGGCCCTCTGCTGTCCAACAATTTTATATCACGCAAGTGATGGCCTCTGAATCTTCTTAAAATCCACAGGCAAAACTTTTCTTTTTGATTCAAATTCAAGTTCTAGGCTAGTAAAATCCAGGTGTGGAATACAAGAGACTTAATTTTGTAATATCCTTTCATTTCATGCATACTGAAATTTTCCTTTTTATGACGGCCAAGATTAAGATCGTTAATAAAAGTTTTGAAAAAAAAATGGTGTTAAATGTAAATAAGCTGAACACAGTTTCAGGCCTATTAAAAAAGATTAAAGCATTAAAATATCTGAGAGGTGTGGTCTACTCACAGCACAGCTCTCCTAGCTCCCCAGTAATCCCCATTAACTGGGAGCTGAACTTTCTGGTGTGACACCAGTGCAGATGCCAGCAGCAGATGGCTTTTCAGTTGGAGAGGAGAATTGATGCTGCCTAAGATCAATGCTGTTATGGCACTTTGTGTGAAGTACTGTGTTCCAGATGGAAGAAAAACCTTACAGGG